TAATCCCAGAGACTCAGGGGGCCCAGACAGGAGGATTACAAGTTCAAGACCAGCCTCAGCAACTTAGGGAGGCCCTAAATAAAAGGCTCAGGATGTCTTAGTAGTAAAGCACCAGTAGGTTAAATCCCCAGTGCCAAACCAAACCAAACCAAAAAAGAAAATCAGTTTTAATAATCAATCTTCTACTAAAGGATATTATGGCTACTTTTTTTTTTAATAACATGCTTATTTATTTATTTATTTTTATGTGGTGAAGATTGAACCCACAGTCTTGCGCATGCTAGATGCGCACTCTACCCCATGAGCCACAACCCCAGCCCTATGGCTACTTATTTTAATTATTATTCAAGTGAACAAAGGGTAGGAAGTTGTCAAAGAATTATTCCAAAATTTAAATCTTAATTATTAAGAAAATGAATTACACAGTGGAAATTTTTGAACACTATACCTGACAGTCACTAAAGCAAACAAAGCTGCAGTCTGAGAGAAAGGCTTTAAAGCCACAAAGAAAAGAAAGAAATGAACACATTTATAACGCTTTCTAAATTGTCCAGCAGAAATGACCATGGTTTATGGCATACCTGGTTTCTGGATTGATGGCACAAAACCAATCATTCATTTTACTTAAGAGAAAAACAGGAAAAAAGTGTCTGTCATAAGATCAATAAACTCAAGAGTGAAAAACCATGTTTCCTCAAACAAATTCAGGATGATAAAGAATTTCACAAAATAAAAAATCCAAATTCTTTCTTTTATGGACTCTCAAAACACTGAAAAACAGATTCATGCAGTTTTTGTAATTTCAAATTTGAAGAAAATATGGATGAAAATCTTAAGACAGGGAAGATTTTTCTAAGTACACTACAAAAAATGTAAACATATAAAAAAATTAACTCGGTATGACAACAGCTCAAGAGGCTGAAACGAAAAACGCCTGCAACACAGGGCAGTCAAACAATTACTATTTCTTAATCTACAAAGAGGTATTACTAGCTAGTGAAAATTCAACTACCCCCATAGAGATAAATGGATAGAAGTCATGAAAAGCAATTCACAAGACAACCAAAAAACTTTGCATCTCGGAGAAATTAAAAAAGATTGACAAATTCAGTCTTGGTGACAGGGTACAGACAAACACAAGTGGTGGGAACATGGGGTTAAGGGAATAATTCTATAAAATGGGCCTACTGTGCTGACCCCCACATGCTTTCTTTTCTAAGAGGCAATTTGCCTGCAATCCTGCCTGGCTTAAGTGCTTGGCTATGTCACATTCCTCAGCAAACTACCTGCAGGAGAAATGCAGGCCCAAAATAATATCAATAAGAGAAACCCAAGTTACCCTAAAGGGGGAGACTTATATGACCCTTTTCACAGACCAGATCCCCAAAACTCAAGGAGATAAGGGTAATTCCTCTTAACCATAAAATATTTAAGACCTAGATTTGTCACGGCAGTGAGAACTTCCAAGTCTCATGCCACCCTGCTGTCAGTCAGAAGTCTAGAAGAGGTAAACGTAGGCAGAAAACTCTGGAAAATTCTCTGGGATCCCTAATAGACCTGGAATTCCACCAAGATTTCATCTTACTTGAGTCAGAATAGCAATTATCAAGAATACAAGTAACAATAAATATTGGTGAGGATGTAGGGAAAAAGATACATTCATACATTGATGGTGGACTGCAAACTGGTGCAACCATTCTGGAAAGCAGTATGGAGATTCCTCAGAAAACCTGGAATGAAACCACTATTTGACCCAGTTATCCCACTCCTTGGCATATACCCAGAGGACTTAAAATTAGCATACTATAGTGATGTGGCCACATCAATATTTATAGGGGCTCAATTCACAATAGCTAAGCTATGGAATCAACTGATGTGCCCTTCAACAGATGAATGGATGAAGAAAATGAAGCATATATACACCGTAGATTATTACTCAGCCATAAAGAAGAACTAAATTATGACATTTGTCAGTAAATGGATGAAACTGGAGGCAATCATGCTGAGTGAAATAAACCAATCCCCCCAAAACCAGAGGCTGAATGTTCTCTCTGATACACGAATGTTAACACATAACAAGGAAAGTGGAGAACAGAAGTTCACTGTATTAGACAAAAGGGAATGAAGGGAAGGGGCGATGGGAATAGGAAAGACATTAGAATGCACTGGACGTAACTTTCCTATGTTCATATATAAATACACTAGCAGTGTTAACTCCACATCATATATAACCACAAGCATGGGAAGTTGTACTACATGTATGTATAATATGTCAAAATACATTCTATGATCATGTATACTGAAAAAAAAACATATAAAAGGTTAAAAAAAAAATTGGACAGAGGCACATGGTCTATCTCCTCTCTGAAGAGGACCCAAATCTTCCTTTTTCTATTCCTTCAATAAACTCATTCCTTTTTCTCTGAGTGACATGTCTGAAATCCTTCTGATTTGGTTGCAAGAATCAGGGCTTGAAGGGGAAGGGGGGGTCTTCATGCTGCCTCAGTTTCCTGGAAGGTCCCAGCTCTGTAACATTGGTGAGGTTAATTCATGTAAGGAAGACAATGTAAACTGATGCAGCCTTTCACAGTGCAATTTACAACATGTATCAAAATATAAAGGATACATATTCTTTGAATTACTAATGTTACTTCTAGGAATTCACCCTTAAAAGATAATTACATAAAGCTTATATATAATCATACACCATAGTGTTGCTTATAAGATAAAGAAAACAAATCAACTGTGAAATAAATTATACATGTACATATAACAGAAATACCAAATAGCCATTTAAAAATGTTGACAGGAGTTGACAACTAGCTTCTAGCTATGAGGGAGGCTGAGGCAGAAGGATCATGAATTTGAGGCCAGAATGTGCAAAACAGTGAGACTCTCATCATGAGACCCCACTGAAGGAAGGAAAGAAAGGAGGAAGAAGTGAGGGAGGAAAGGATGAAGGAAGGAAGGGAGAAAAGGAGGGAGGGAAGGAAGGAGGAAATAAGGAAAGAAGGGAAAATGTTGACACCACATCTATATTTGTTGGTATTAAAAATCATCCATAAGACTGTAAGGTTTTCAAAATGTCAAATGGTCACACAGACTTTTGCAATGATGTCTGAAAGAATGGCCATCAAAATGTTAGCTATGTTGGTGATTTTTATATACTTATGGCATTTTTCTACATATTCAAAATTTTATAAAATTATTAACTTTTTATTATTGGGGGATAGTTACATTATGATAGACTCAAACTGTTCTACACCTAAAGAGATAGATTTTATTTATTTCTAGTTTGGTTATTAAGGCCAGCTACTAGTTTGTAAATTATATTATTGTTACATTGATAATTGTGATATAACAGTTTGTCTTGTCTTGGTCTTGAGTTGCTAGGAGAAGCTTCAAAAATCCTTGGATATGGGCTGGGGTTTTGGCTCAGTGGTAGAGCACTCGCCTCGCACATGGGAGATCCTACCTGGGTTCGATCCTCAGCACCACATAAAAATGAATAAGTGAAATAAAGGTACTGTGTCCAACTATAACTAAAAAATATTAAAAAAAATCCTTGGACATGTCCAACCACAAAAATGGGTAGTTATACTGCATGTATGTATATATGTCAAAATACATTCTACTGTCATATATAATGAAAAAGAAAAAAAAATTTTTAAACTTCTTAAAATTTCTTGAGTGTTAGTGGCTTTGTAATGCTAACATTTAGAACCCCACTTCCAGGAGTAGGGGTAGAGCTGGAGATCAAATTCAATCAGTTAACCAATGATTTAATTAATTATATCTAGTAATGAAGTGCCCAAAACAACTCTGGATACCAAAGCTCAGAATAGTTTCCTAGATGAACAAATTTCATATGCACAGAAAGTGAAGTACCCAGACACCATGGAGTCAGGTTGTCAAAGATCTGCATTCCCTTCCATACCTTGTGTATATACTTTATAGTAAAACTGCAACTTAAGTATAGGACTTAAAAGCCATTCTAGTAAATTATCAAATCTGAGGACCATGAGAACATCCCATGCTGGTAGCCAGCTGGTTAGATGCTAGTGATCTAGGGACCCTGCTCAGACTTGTGGTTACAATCTAAAGTATAGTTTTATGGAGAACCCTTCCCCTAATCTGTGGGTTCTGCAATAAATCCAGATAGTTAATGTCAGAACTGCATTGTAGTATATCCCGCTGGTATCAGAACAGTTGGGCTGAAAGAAAATGGTAACCATACCAAGTAATAATATAATACTATTTTCTTTTGAAAGTATTTATCAATACTTTCAAAAGTAAAGCGAATGTCATTATCTGGTAAAGGATCAACATCATTGTTATTCAAGTTTTGTAATTTTTTTTTCACCACAAACAACCAAATACAATATGCAAAATGCTTATCTATCTTGGGTACTCAAATGCTTCCTCATCTGTGCCATTCATGCAGCTCTCCCAAGATATACTCCCACCACATTGTGTGGCTCTACTAGAGCATTCATCACTATGTGCTGCATTTGTTTATGCCTCTCTCTGGTATGTGGGACAGTGACTCCCAAAGCAAGGACCTAATCTTCTTCATCTTTTTATTCTCAGTGCCAACTACATTGCTCAGAACATGGTAGTTTAGTCAAACAGCTATGCCTGTAAAAAAAAAAAAAAAAAAATCACTCCACAACGGAAAGTGCTCAAGTAGGTGCTTTGGTTTGAAACCTCACAGTCTTTATGGACTCTTTCCCCTAAGCTTTCTATCTTCAACTAAATACTGTGTCTGAGAGATCAAACAGATAAGCAAGCTCTATAAGGAAATAGTAAATTAAACTAAGAATTCCTTTAAATATAATAATTTAAATAAAATATAATAATAATAAGAGGATGGTATCAAATATCCTTTTACTTAAGATTTTTACAGTCTCTTATGATAGAACATTAGAAATGTTGTTAAAGGACTACTACTTATCCCCTGGTAAGCATGCTATTATCCTTCTGTATAAGGATTTACTCACCTTTTAATCTAGCATCACCCCCAAAGGCACCACAACCCCAGTTTCCTGTGGCCACAGCAGAAAGATTCTCTGAAGGAACTCCAGGACGCAGAAATCCACAGTAAGCCTACAAGATGAAAGAAATATCACAGCACATGACTGAATGGACAGTAACAGTATTTCTGACAGATGTACTAGGATCAGCATCTATTACCAAGCTTATATTCTCTCTCCCTCGTTTTTCTTTTTCTTCTTAAGGCCAAAGTAGAGGGGAAAACAAAGAAAGAGAAAAACCTGGGATTGTACAACAAAGAGAATGAGAAATGACAGATTCTAATATTTATTTGTTTGAATGTTGGGTATATCAAATCCCTTACACTAATACAAGTATTAGTTTCTGTTAGAAATACTGAGGTGCTGTAAGAAATCAAACATATGGTAGGAAGCCAGTAAGGCAAAAACTGTATGTCTGCAGAAGAGTATGTTCCCAAAGGGAATTTTGGTGGGCAAGCATACCTGGGTAGGCAGTCTGCCAGTTTTTATCCCTAACAAAGTACTGTTTGCTTTGAAATGAAGAGTTCGGGGGTACAATCTACACAATTAGCTGATTTAAAATTGGGGAAGGCATGAAAAGGGGCTACAGTTGTGGCTGGATACCTGTTAGGGAATTTAAAAATGGCTCCATTCTGACCACATGGTTTTCTAACTTAAGAGGGCTCCACTATACACGTGAAACTTAGTTACAGTAAATTTGTTTGTGTTGCATTACAGATTTAACTTTGATAGAAAAGAAAACATAAGTCTTACAGTTTCTTTTTCCACCTCAGACATATGTGATTATCAGAGATATTTCAAGAACCAATGGGATAACCAAGACAAACTATCAAGAAAGGTACTTGTTCAAATACTGTTTTCTCTGAAGGCTTTTGGTGACCACTTTTGCATGAAAGTAGAGTTACTATGGAGCTTCCTTAGCAGGTTCTTCCCCAGAGTTATTGGGACTAGATTAGTAACTATGATTCACCTTTTTTTTAAAAAAATGTTTTATTTGTCAACGGACCTTTATTTTATTTATTTATATGCAATGCTGAGAATAGAACCCAGTGCCTCACACATGCTAGGCAAACGCTCTACCACTGAGCCACAATCCCAGCTCCACGATGATTCACTTTTGTGCTTCTTGCCATTGGAATGCTTTGTAAAAGCAAGGCCACCAAGGCCACCCAAGATGACGCCTGCTCACTTCTGCACGGGCCCAGGTGCGTTAGGCAATGGCATTGGAGTTACATCCCATGACATGTATTTGACCCCGAAACTTCCTTTAACAAAAAACTAGCAACTATCTATAAAAGGGATTCCTATTTCTGATTATGAAAAAAAACTTTTAAGATTTCTTTCAGCCCTAGAATTCTCTAGTTTCATAGCTGTTTTAAGATAGAATATTCAAAATTTTGCCAGTAACCTGAAGAAAGTACAATATATCCTGAAGATGCTGGCTAAGTATTAATTAAATTAATTTTTTTGTACATGAGAAGGTCTCAGAGTTTATGGTTTCTACTTCTTTGCAGTCATCTCAGTCAATCTTTCTGCCTTCTAGGTATACTGTATTAAGAAGATAATATAACAGCAAAACAAATCTTCCCTAGGTTCTCTCAGGTACCAAATAAGCCTAAAATGTAGTCTATATGTAATAGTAAATAGATTAAAAGAGTAAGAGAAAAACCAACAACAGAGAAAGATGCTTCTGTGAAACCCACATGCTGAAAAATACAGCCAATTATTCTCTGAAGTTTCCACAAAGGTATAAAACTTTATTTTATACACTGTTTGGATGAATTAACAAGGTTATTCCCTCCATCCTCTCCTAGGCTGTAAATTCTGACAGATATTAATTATAAGTTGGTACCAGACCATTATTCAATGCTATGGTACAGAGCTTGCACAAGAACTTACAAATTACCTGTATAATCAGATGCATAGAGCTTCTAAAAATCTCTTTCAGGTCAAAATATCAGACAATTTCATGGGGGAAGGGTAAGTTCTTGAATGATAAAGAATATGGCATTATATGTATAACAGGGAAAACAAACCTCTGTCAGAATAAACGTAACTTTGCCATCTTTCATTTCATTTTTTTTTTCTGGCATGCTTGGACAAAGAGAAGTTCTTGGCTTCCTGGTTCATATTTTGTTTTATACTATCAGAATGTTTTAGTTCCTCACTGCTTCCTCTAAGTAACCAGGTTAAATGTATTTTAATGAGCAAAAACAGTGCAGTTTGGTGAACAAGTAAAAACCAAAAGAAAAAATTTGTATCTAGAATTAAAAACTAGATACTAAACAGGAAGTAGTGAAAATAGAGATATAAGAAGGAAGCAAAGAAAGTGGAAAAGAGACCAAAGAAAGCATGTATAAAAGTTCCAGGACTGAGCCCAGGAAAGGCATGGGACTCCAGCGTAGCACAAATAAGTATATACACACTAACAAGTCTGGTTTCAATATAAATTGTAGCAGGCCCAAGTAGATACACTTAAAGGATGTCTTTCATCATCATGCAAATATATATTATATTGTTATTAAGATTAATAACTTAGTAATTATTATTCCCAGAGTTGTTTATTCATAAAGTCAGTCTACTCGTGTGTTTAGTTTACATTAATACATAGTTGATTTTGATATTGATTTCTTGAGGTTATTAGTATTCTGTGATTTCTTAAACATAAATACAATATAAAAAGACCCTTAAGGATCTGTTGGAAGAGAATAAAGTAATATTACTAAAGAGTCTTTAAGTTATCCTTAGACTCAGTAGTAATATTAGTTTTGTAAATTTCTTCTAAAAAAACAGCATTGTACAGATGTTTATTCCTACTTTACATAAAAGAGAAAAACCTGGGACTAATTGCTTAAAAATAGGCTCGTGACTACAGAGTTAAATCCCAGCCTACCAATCCAACCAATTTTATTTAATTATGAAGATTTTTTAAGAAGTATGAAAAGCATTTATAATATAAAGTTAAATGAAAGAGGTAAAATGCAAAATTATAGGTTAACTTTTGTGTATATTTATATAAAACCAAATTTCTTGTGGAAAGACCTATAAAAAATGAAAACAACTGTTTTTGTTTTTAAATATTTATAATTTTTTAATTATAGCTGGATACAGTATCTTTATTTTATATTTACGTGGTGCTGAGGATTGAACCCAAGGCCTTACGCATGTTAGGCGAGCGCTCTACCTCTGAGCTACAACTCCAGTCCCTGAAAACAACTGTTTGAAAGATAGTATTATGGATAACGATTTTGTCTTTGAAATAGTTGTAACATTAGTACATTGTTTTTGCTATTTTAAAATGTAATATAAAATGAAAGTCTGTAGATCTGTTTTCTCGTGTGTAAAACTGAAAATTAGTTATCTTGTGATGTTCTGACTCTATATGTTGAGAAACTTAAGGGAAAACTCACTGGAGATGACACATTTTGAACTAATATTCCTAAAAAAGTAAAGTGACACATATTTTAAGAAAAGATTATAAAAAGATCAGGTGTTGAACTTAAAGTATCAGCAGCCAAGTACTCAATGGTTTTATTATAAAGGTTTTATTTAACAATAACTCCATTCTAAATTTGGATAATAATAAATCAATTAAAAAAATCAAGAGGCAGGGGTTGTGGCTCAGTGGTAGAGCACTTGCCTAGCACATGTGAAGCACTGGGTTCGATCCTTAGCACCACAAAATAAAATAAAGATATTGTGTCTAACTACAACTAAAAACCGAATATAAGAAAACAATTAAAAGTAGAATAACAGTGGCAATCCACTTTGTTCAATTCCTATTTTGGAAGGCTTAATGGAATATATTCATTATGTAATCTTACCTAAAAAACTCTAACATAGCCAAGTACAAATTTTCACAGGTGATTTCCTTCTTCCCTTGCAGGGTTATTTGCCACTTTTACAAGATGGAGTCATAAATTGTTCGAAAGTCAAAGATAATTCTCCCCTAACATGTCACCCAACTGCACTCATAGGATTAAATACAGATTTGCACTATCAGTTAAATGGATTCCTTCCTTTTAAAAACGTACTCTGTTTGCTGGTCATGATGTCACTTCAATAGGACAGGAGGGACCTGGACGGACCAGACCTTTTCCAGAGGCATTAGAGCACTTTGTGGGAATGCCCTTTCAAGTAATGTATAAAAGTAACAAAGAGGCCCTCAGAGCTCAGAGATCCACACTGAATTCTGATGATGAAAACTAGTCTTATGTTTTGTTACTTCATTTAGAAAAAGGTAATTTTTCTATTCTTCTTAACTTTCTCGCTGGCATGCAAAAAGACACGTGTTCACACACGCACACAAACATACATAAGGCATCTCTAAAACTGATTTGATACAGACTTCTGCTTTAAACCCAAGGTTATAAAACATAATGAAATATAAAACATTAAATATTTCCTTCAAGTTGTGTTGCCAGCTGATGTGGAATTCTTGTTACTTACATCAAAATTCATAAATCTATTTCAATAGGCAAATGTAAATTAATAAGGGATGGAATGCTTTAATTTAGAAGGTTCAAAGTTATTTGGATTAGTCTGTTAAATTAATCTTTCAAAAACACTTAACAAGGACTGGGGTTGTAGCTCAGTGGTAGAGTGCTTGCCTCAAACACATGTGGAAGGCCTGGGTTCGATCCTTAGTACCACATTTTAAAAAAAAAATAAAGATATTGTGTCCATCTACAAGTAAAAATAAAATAAAAAACACTTAACAAAATCATTTACTGTTTTCCCCCCCCTTTTTTAGTGAAAGAATTAGAAAACCAATCTTTTATGAAAGAACAAATTTTAGGAGAATATATCAGTGAATGAAAGAATACACATTTTCAATACTTTCCCATGTGTGAGGCCCTGAGCCAGGTGCTCTTTCATATACTGACAAATTCTCTTCATATACTGGCAAATTCTATTACATGCAAGATATTTCTTCATCTCATGGGAATTCAAGAATAGGTTGAGGGGAACCCTCACATTTTCTTGAAAAAGTGTATCAAACAGAAAAGAATATTGAGAAAAGGATTCAATGGATACTTTGTGCATAGTGGAAGTTTATCATCAGAGGACAAGGAGCAACTGAGGCATATGTCTGTATATTATATATTAATCAAAGGCAGAAATATTCTCAACGATTAAAGATTAAACAAGATAAAAAATCTAGAAGATCAGATCTAATTATAGTAATCTCTATATGAGAGGATTTACATTTTTAAAAAGTGATCTGAGGCTGGGCTTGGTATACACACCTGTAATCCCAGCAACTTGGAGACTGAGACAGGAGGATTGTTAATTCAAAGTCAGCCTCTGCAACTAATGCACTAAGCAACTCAGTGGAACCTTGTCTCTAAATAAAATACAAAATAGAGTTGAGGATGTAGCTCAGGGTTGAGTGCCCCTGAGTCCAATCCCCAGCATAAAAGAAAAAAAAAGGGGCTGGGGATGTGGCACAAGTGGTAAGGCGCTCGCCAGGCATGCGCAGGGCGCTGGGTTCGATCCTTAGCACCACATACAAATAAAGATATTGTGTCCACCGAAAACTAAAAAATAAATTAAAAAAAAAATCTTAGTACTAGGGATATAGCTCAATGATAATGCATTTGCCTAAGCAAATGTTAGGCCCTAGGTTCAATCCCCAGAACTGCCAAAAAGAAAAAAAAAAAAAAAAAAAACAGAAAAAAAATTATCTAAAGTCAGGGGAACCCAATTTAAGCCCTGGTGTGGTCACTACCCAGCTTTTGGGACCTTAGGCAAGCTACTCAACTTCCTGAGGCTTACTCTACTGTCTCAAAATTGGCAATAAAAACAGTATCTCTGCCTCCTGGGGTAGTGAGGATTAAATCAGACAATGCATGCCTGGCAGGCAGTGGCACATTAATAGACCCAGTTACTTGGAGGCTAAGGTAGGAGAATCTCGAGCCCAGGCCAGCAACCGAATGAGACTCCATCTTAAAAAACACAGCAAAACAAAAACACAGACAATGCATTTAAAATGCTAAGTGGAGTCCCTAGCACACAGTAAGCAATTATTTTATTGATTTTACTATTTTTACCAATATAGTTTGAAAAAGTTTCTGCTTAAATTTGACTGAAAAGAATTTTTTATGAGTTAAAAATTAGACTCAACTGCATATTGACAGAAATAATGGCAGGCAAATTCAGAATGGCATACATTAAAAATCAACCCATCTCCATCATATCCTTCAACTGCTCTGCATTTTACAATGGACTTAAGCTTTATTTAACACTTGGAAATATTTAAAAGTTTATTTAACACTTGGGAATATTTGAGAAGTTAACAATTTGTAATATTTTGAGTGCTTTGAGATAATGTACTTCTATAGTTTCTAAAACTTTTGTGATTAAAAAAAAGCCATATTAGCATTGCCTAAGAAGTTATTCGATTAGTAACTGAGCAAGACATTTAACAAATTATTCTTGAGACATTCCCAATAAGGCAAGCAGTGTGTCAGGCACTGTCTGACCTGAATGAAATAAAATTCCTATTGCCAAGTTACTTAAAGATTCACTCTTTTTATATAAAGTATGTCTCATAAGCACTCTACATTCCACAGATAAATATTTTTTTAAGGTTTGCAATAATACAACTAACAATGTATTCATATAAACCAACACTTCACACCTTTAAAATTTCTGGTGTCTATAATTGAATGTTAGTGATATAAGTTAATGTAGAGAATACCTACATATGGTAAAAGGGAATTTAACAAAGACTAATTTATGCCCAATGGTTGCTCCCCTCCCCCATTTTCTTTTATTGGTGCATTACACTTGTACATATGGGGGTGTCTGTTGTTACATATTTGTATATGTATTAAACATAATAATATAATGTGGCCAATCACTCCAAAATTTATCTTTTAAAGAGATCATAATTGCAGATAATTTCTAAAAGTGAATGATCTAGCTTCTTTAGGAAGACTTTAACCATAAAAAGGAAATATTTTAATTTTTGTTAATATGCTTTACAACTTCAGTTAAACACATTTTGGTCTTGTCTTTCATCTATTTTTCTCCAAACCACCTACCACTTAGATAAATGTCCTCTAGTTTCACTCTCTCTCTCTCTCTCTTTTTTTTTTTTAAATTAGTACCAGGGATTGAACTCAGGGCACTTAACATTCCCCAGCCCTACTTCAGAGAAAGGTTTCACTGAGTTGCTTAGTGCCTCTCTAAGTTGTTGAGGCTGGCTTTGAACCCGAGGTTCTCCTGCCTCAGCTTCCTGAGCTGCTGGGATTACAAGCATGAGCCACCACACCCAGCCAATGTCCTCTACTTTCAATTACCAGGTGACAAATTGCTGTATACATGTTTAAGTAACACTTGAAGAAACTCTAAAAATTAATCTCATTCTAGATGAATATGCTCTATTATAAAACACATAGAGGTTTGAAGACAATTGCTTTAAGGTAAGAATTTGGAACAGTGACAGCAGCCTTATATGGATTTTTTCCCCCTGTAATGCTAGGGATGAAACCCAGGGCTTTATTCATGCTAGGCAAATATTCTAACACTGAGCTACATCCCTAGCCCCAGGCATACTTACCTTTAAAGTGTACTCAACTACTAGTAAAAGATACTTTTCAGTACAAGTAAATTTGACTTTCAGTGTCAGATAGGAAAGAAATTTAGAAGTGCTAATATATTAAAGAATATATCCGGATAGATTTTCTGAGGAATTGCTGTTTTTTAAAATAAATGATGTCTGTTTATAAATTCAACTTTGGATGATAGTGCATTATTCTTTAAACTTTTTGAGATTCATCTGAAACCCCTAAAAATTAAAATGATCTAATAAGTTATCTATAAGAAAATATGGTCACCAATAAAGCAGATTCTCTGATGATCAAAATATGAGATAATATAACCAATTATATTCAAAATATCTACAAGTTATAAGGGTAATAAAAGCCTATCTGGATTATTTGGTTGTATATATCCAGTCTGCTGTCATTATTAGAGATCTTTGTGTAGGGACTCACACATGTAGCCACATAAAACCACAAACTTCACAAATAATCTTATAAACAAATCCTGCTCCTGGGAATCAAACAATGACTTGGAATTGAGTTGGCTGTGAAAGTGATTTGAGGAACCAAAGAAAATTTTGATTGTTTTGGTGAGGCCCGAATTCTAGAGAACAGAATCAGCACTATTGCATGATGGAATTTATTGTAGCTAACAGTTGTGACAATCTGAACTAACAACAGATATGACTCATTTTACATTTCTGTAATACAACAGAAAGAAGAAAATGATTATACTAGACAGCACTAAGCATAACAGACCATTGCAGTTTCCAGTAAAAATATGTCAAATTACCAAATCAACAAACAACTTTTATTTGAACCTTATCAACAATAATAATAAATGGTTTATCTGTTCTAATCCTGATAGGATACTATGTAAAGAAATGTCATTGGGAAGATCTGAAAAAAATTTTTTTTCAGGGCTCATTCATTTCTATATGGTTTTACAATAATGTTCCAAAGCAGCTAAAAGTACTTAATAAGATAAATGCATGTGTGGAGTTTAACATCAAGCAACAGTGTAGTGGGCAACCTTATCTAGTAATCAAACAATTACAAAATGGAAAGTACATCTTGTACAAGCTGACAAAGCCATTAAATCAGGAAAGCTGTGGGCATTTTGACACTGTAAAAAACTACCAGAAAGCATTAATTTCAGCATTAATAAAATGGCAGTAAATAGATGACAGTTACCAGATGAACTAAGAAATAAGGTTACTGGCCTTGTTAAGCTCACGTCTCATTTTCTCAGGCACAAACTGATCGAGGTAGCGTCTGAAGTGAAGTGCATCAATGGCAACTATCTCAGTGCAGCGTCTTTGCCAGTCATCCCTGGGATAGGACAAATAAGGGAAAAAGATGAGGAATAGGTAGAGCCCTTCGGCCTTGCAGAGGTTAGGTGGTCAATACCTTGGTAGTGTATAGTAAAAACAAACAAACTGTGACCACAGGTCTCAGCAAAAGCAGGAGGTCAAGAAACATTTTATATTTAGATTCAAAGGCATACACATTATGCACTGTTGGGTAGTAAGTAGTACAATGAAAAATCAAGAAACCACACACTATGACATATTATATATCATTTACAGTGAGTCTGACACAAAAAGATTTGAGGGCAAACAAAGGGAATTTAGGTCTTTCTTTTCCTTTCATACTGAAGTTCAATCCTTCTTTGTTTTGTGGGATCTGCTCTAAATTACTGGGATGTAATACTATTACATACTGTCCAGGACATAAACCCAAGAAGTCAAGTGTTACTACTGTGCTCAATTGCTGACTGCAAGAAACTATTTTTTGAAAGACAGGACATCAAAGTAGACAATAACAAGTCACTTGTGGAAGTAGAAAGGACTAGTTGAGATGATAATTTTAGGAATGTGTGAAATTCCAAATATCTCACCTCTTTAAAAACTTGCATAATTGGTATGCCGACCAATTTTTCATTTTGAAGAACAATGAAGCCTTCATGTTAGTTTGGAAATAATTACCAGGAATTAATAAATAAATATTCACAAAGATAACTGTTTGTTACACCATATACTTTAAACAAAATAAGAATACAGAGGCTGGACTTGAATGTTTGTGGCACAGGTATGACTACATGGACCAGAGCTGATTGTTTCTCATTTAAAAACAAACAAACAAATCCCACAAGCTTTCAGGAAGCATTTCTGCAAAAAATTATACCTGATAAACTACACAATTTGATGGAAAAGCAAAGATGTCAAAATGTGAATAAATTCTAATAAGAAATAGGAGACAACAGCAGCAAAGTTCACTGCAGTACCTGCTATCAACTGGCTTTGTGGCATTAGACAAACTGTCCCAACACAGGTGTCCTCCATTTACCTAATCTCCACAGAGAAATTAAGGATAACTAAATAAGACGCTCTAATTAGAGCCACTCCTAATTAAGTTTGGATTTGGAAGTTAACCGCTCCCAATTGGCAGCTTGTAGAACTGTAGAAAACTCTGTCTTCCTTGTACTTATTTTCGACTTCTGGTTTTTCATTTTCTCTGGTCTCCCTTTGTATACAGAAATGGTTATACTGTTTTAACTCCAACAAAACTGTAACACTGAATTTAAAAAGAAAAGTTCAACTGCCTGAATAATAATACAAGAGATACAGAGTGCACTAGAGTCACTCCACGCTCCTTCACTTTCAGTCATATAATACTCAAGTCAGAAACAGACTCACCTTTCACTCCCATCTTCATGGCTCCGGGCCCAACGATATGTTTCAGCATAGCCAGTGTATTCACTGTACTGTTCAGTACCTGAAACAAATAATTTGTTACTATTTACTTGATACTCAATGGTGAAAACATTTCATCTAAAATCAGCAACAAGGCAAGGAATACCATTCTCATCACTTATATTCAGCACTGTGCTTGAGGGGTCCCCCAGCCAGTGCAATAAAGCAAGAGAAGAAATAAAAGGCATAAAAAATATTAAAAACAAAAACAAGAGTGTAGCTCAATGGTAGAACACAAGCTTATCATGCACAAGGTCCTGGGTTAAATACTTAGCACCAAAGGAAAAACAGTTAAAATGTCCCGATTTGCAGATGCAATCCTTGTTTATCCAGCAAATCCTAAGGAATTACTGAAAGAAAGAGTGTGTAGAGGGGAATTATAACAAGAAAAGCTCATAAGCAAACTTAGTAAGGTCAATGGTATGTCTATATATGTAGCAATAAACAATGGGAAATAAAACTTTTCAAAAATCCATTAAATATAATGTAAAAAAAAATCTAAAAGTAAATACAATGGATGAAGAAGACATAACTGAGAAAAAACAAAGATCTCAATAAAAAGAGAAATATACAAGGCTCTTGGGATAGAAGACTCAATATTGTTACAACGTTAATTTTCGATTTATAGATTCACCTCAATCCTAATGATAAATCTCAAAAGACTTTTTCTTTTTAAAAGTAGTAAATGATGGGGCTGGGGTTGTGGCTCAGTGGTAGAGTATTCGCCTAGCATGCATGAGGCACTGGGTTTGATTCTCAGAACCACATAAATGTAAAATAAAGATATTGTGTCCACCTAAACTAAAAAATAAATATTTTTTTTAAAAAAAGTAGTAAATGAGAAGAAATGTAGGTCTATTCTAAAACTTATATAGAAAAGACAAACAATCCATACAGAAAAGGGTAGTTTTCCCAACAAATATTACCAGAATAAATAGACATTCAAACAAAACAAAATAAACTTCAACTGCTACCTTACACTGTGAATGAAAACAATTTTGAGATGACTCACAGAAATAAAAATAAAATTATAAAACTTCTAGAAGAAAACACAGAAGAAGAGTTTCATTATATTGGGGATAGATAAATATTTCTTAGACTGGATAAAGAAAGCAATGACTATAAAATTTACCCAAAGCAATAATAACAACAAAATCCCCCAAAGCTAGCTCTCCTCTCTACCCCAAAAAACATCAACAAAAACTATAATAGAGCAAAGTTACATACTTCCGGCCTTACAAAGACCAATAAGAAAATATGTAGGCAGGACAGCAGGAAAAATATTCATAAAACTAGCATCTGTCAAAGAACTTATATTTACAATACCTGAAGAACTCTCATGAATTAATAACAAAAACAATACAATTTAGAAAACTGGACAGAAGATTTGAACTATATCCTAATAACAACCATATGAAACACTGCAACATTATTCCAGTATAACATTAAAACCACTATAAACTGAAAAGAATGACTTAAAAAAAAAAAAAAAAAAAAGACTGACAACACTAAACATTGGCAAGGATGTACAACAAGTAGAAATTTCATGCACTGCTGGAAGAATGTAAAATGGCACAATGATTTTGGAAAACAGACAATTTCTTACAAAATTAAATATGCATCCACCCTTGGACCTATAAATTACATTCTTAGGTATTCAGCCAATAGAAATTAAAAATATATGCTAACAAAAACTGAAGAGAACACTCTTAGAGGGTTAATTCACAATAATCTTCTATCAGTCAGGGTTCAACCAGAGATACAGAACTAGTAGGAGATATATACAAAGAGATTTATTAAAGGAGTTGGTTTAAAAAACTGTGGGAGCTGACTAGGCAGGCTGGTACTCAGAAATGAACTACTGTCCACAATAAGAATTTCTTTTTGGGGGTTGGGGGGAAGCCTTAGCTCTGCTCTTTAGGCCTTTGAACTGATTGAAATTGGTTTGCCCAGATTTTTGCAAATAATCTCCCTTTTAAAATATTAACTACTTGTGGACTTTAATCACATCTACAAAATATCTTAACAGCAATACCTAGGTTAGCATTTGAATATATGGGGACCGGAGTCTATCTAATCTGACATATAAAAAAGACTATCACAAAAATAAAAGTACAAATAATCTAAATGTTCATCAACAGAAAATTAGCAAAACATGATTTACAAAGGAATTATACTTTTAGTAATAAAAAGGATTAAAACCACTGATGTACTCAAATCCATAGATGAATCTCACATAACATTTTATGCAGAAGGGGGAAAAAGCAAGGTAGATGTGTGTGTATGTGTGTGTGTGTGTGTGTGTGTGTGTGTATGTGTATATATACATATATATACATACATATACATATATATACAAATATATACATATATATATATGAAGTTCTAAAAAAGACAAAACTAATTCATGAAAAAAATAAAAATTGTGTTTGTTTCTGGTCTTAGCATGGGGATTGATCAGAAAAGGGCTCAAGGAAATTGTCTGACAGGATGGATTTGTTATTCTGTTTTGATAGGGGTGTGGGATAAAAGGGAAATATTTATTTGCCAACTTACCACAATATACACTTAACATTACATATTTCACTATATGTAAATTTTACTTAAAAAGAGAGAGAAAACCAGAAAATAATTATAAACCAATACCAAACTCCACTAAGGTTTGCTTTTTACAGTGGCATGGTTTAGTAGTTCTAAAATCACCTAAATGAATAAGCAAAATGTAATTAGAAAAAACACTGGGCAAATTCAAAATGAGGGACATTCTATAAAATAATTGGCTTATAGGATTTAGAAATATTAAGGTGAACAAACACAAGGAAAGGATGAGAAACTATACCAGAGACTATAAATTATTAATATTTGTGTCTACTTTAGCATTTTATAATGCAAGGATATAAAAGCAGCTGAGTACTTGCCTAATAAACATAATTAATGAACAAAACAGAAAACACTGTATTAACTGAGATTAAAATAATGAGGCCAGGTATACTTAATAGGAATATATTATATAATTGAACCATATATAAAAATTCACATCTAAAAGGATAACATGGCAAAGAATGACAGATTGACATTAGGACACAGAAGAGCTCTTTACTTAATCTTTACTAGCCAGGAGACCTTGGATAACCAAACCTCACTGGACTTCATCATGTGAAATTCAGGGTTATTAATAATTCTTCTTATCTCACAGAGTTGCTTAGAAAAGTCAAATAAGACAAGCTAAAAATTCTTCTAAACCCTAAAGCAGTCAATGTTGATGTCATTAGATTTTAACTTTATAAGGGAACAGAGAAAACAGATATTTGACTCTATTCTCAAGGTGATTAAAAGTGACCTGGTTTACTGAAGTAAAAGGAACCAAAAGAGTCAGAAAGGCTCTGGTTCTATTATGTTTTCCACCTTGGTGTAGACAATTCTCATTTTTCTTTTTCATAAACACACATACACACAAACACACACACTTGCCTAATCTGATCCCTTGACTATTAAAACAAACACCTGTCCTGTCTTTTGAAAAGGAAGCAGTTGAAAAATATAAAATAGCAATTATCATATTTCTACTTCAAAATAGGATAGCTTTCAGTCTTCTTTCTTGAGGGAAACCAGGCTAGATTTATCCTTTTTTTTTTTTTTGGTGGTGCTGGGGATTAAACCCAGGTCCTTGTACGTGTGAGGGAAGCAATCTACCAACTGAGCTATATCCTAGCCCTAGATTTATCTTCTTTGGGTATGGGAAATTAAAAAAAAAAAAAAAGATATATACAAATGCTTTTGCTTTAAACAAATTAAATCCTGGGTGTCTACACTCACAATTTTCAAAATTGTATTGGCTGTTTGTTTTGAAAACTGGATCCCATTAATGTGTTTTAAATTCAAATTTATTAATAAATTGATAAAAACATAAAGGTAAGCATTTAGTGATAATATAATAGCAAACAAGATATAATGAATAACCTTTATGATAGCTCTCTCTAGGGATAGCCTGTAGAACTTCACAGTTAAGGAAGACCTTTACTTAAGGAAAAATCTAGAAGAAACCCATTAAAAACCTCATTAAGAGTTCACGACAGCTTTATGTGTTTTTAGATTTAGTAAGAAACATTGTTATTTTCTCTTCCTAGGAATAAAAGTTGGTAATGAATAGAAAAAAATATTTGAAGATTAAAAATTTCTACTATGGCAGGTGTGGTGGTGCATGCCTGTAATCCCAGCAGCTCAGGAGGCTGAGGCCAGATGATTGGGAATTCAAACCCATAGCCAGCTCTGGCAAGTGACTTAGTAACTCAGTTAGACCCTGTCTTTAAATAAAATACAAAATAGGGCTGGGGTGTGGCTCAGTGTTTGAATGTCCCTGAGTTCAATCCCTGGTACCTGCCTCCCCCACCCCAAATCTACTTATCAATGAGTTTGTGCCTCAGAAAGATTCATATGAAAGCCATATACTCACCTTTCATCAGCATCACTCACACAGTGGTAATCATACAGTAAATAGAACGGTCTTGCCTTTAGAATGATTAATAAAAATCAAAGAGGAACACCAAAGAAATGTTTGATTTCCAAACATTTCTGAAAAACTCCAACTGAATTTGGATCTTTCCCCAAAGAACTGGTGTCATTTAGCAAAGGGTTATTTCTATAGTGACAGGTGTCCCTAGCACTGCACCTCTATAAAGAGATGGCACTAATATTATAAGCAAGAGTGTCTACATACAGTCATTTCTGTCAGTTCTGCTGATACTCAGAAAAGACATAAGGAACTGCAATGTCTGGGATAATTTGATTAACTGAAGGGTAGATTTTATGTTAAATATACTATTCCTCTGCTCAGAAAGTTTCATGTATAGGCATGCATCTGCTTTGTGTGCTCACCAAACAGAAACACAATAACAAAAACCCCTTAGAGTCCTTTAGTATTGAGCTATTTGTTGGATATTGTAGAGAAACACATGACAGAGGGGAAGATAAGAAAAGGTAAGACTGGAGTTTTAATTCTTTCCCTTTATCTATACTTACCAAAAGGTTTTAACTTATGGCTGCCCAGTGAGGATCACTGTATAAAAGTATAGAAGGATAACACCGTATAAAAGTATTTGCCTGTTTGCATGACCTGTTTCATATTCATTTAAAAGTCTGATGGTAACCAGATGTCCCACAATGATGATAAATTTAATTTATTTCCAATTTCTCAAACTCTTCTACAGATTCAGGCAGCATACTCATAGTCATTAGCTCACTGAGCCTGGATGCATGATTGAAGGAATGGAATTGATCTGGCAGATAGATGCAGTGCATGGTTAAGAGTCTCCTAAGAAGGGAGATGGCAGAAATCCAGACATCAAATAGATGATGAAATGGCCATTTCCATTAAGGGAACATCACATCACAGATATTAATTAGGAGGCACTATAATAAAGTTAAGTGAAAGTGGGAAAAAAACACTGAGTTAAAAGTCACCCCAAATGTCCTTAGCTTGACTTAATTACAGATCTGAAGGTGAACCATGGATCCGCAATTTTCTATCCATTTTACAAACATAATTTAAAGACTAGAGTTAACTTCCAAGTGATCTGGGGATAAATGATCTTTAAAAATAAACTTTCTTTAAAAAAAATTCCCAGGGAATTTTTCCATTTATTTATAGTTACATTAAAGGCAGATAACAAGGGACTCCTACTACTGTAAATGAAATGAAGCAAATGAAACAAATTAGTTCTGAATATAATTCCCAAGATTTTATTTCTTTTTAATTTTTTTGTAGTTGTAAATGGACAAATGCCTTTAATTGTTTATTTTTATGTGGTGCTGAGGCTTGAACTCTATGTCTCACACATACTACTAGGCAAGAGCTCTGCCACCAAGCTACAGCACTAACCCCCAAGATTTTATTTCAAAGATGTAAATTCATCTTAAAAACTGATGGGATATTTTGTTCTAGGTCTTCAGTTCAAATCCAGTTTAACTGCTAAAAATTTAAGACCTTTTAAAAGTATTATTTGATATACCTAAATGATGACAGTCACATTCCTGACCTTCAGAGATCCCTGAGTACAGGGTAACAGGAAAGACAGTGGAATGAATCTAACATAACTTTCCTATGTATATATGTGAATACATCTCAGTGAATTTCAACACTGTGTGTACCCACAAGATTGGGGTCCCAATTAGAAGAAAATACATTCCATGTTTGTGTAATATATAGAGTCTACTGCCATGTATAACTAAAACAAACAAACAATAAAGAAATATGGATAAGCCAAAATTTCTTAAAATTTGAAAAACTGGGATAAATACCCTTTTAAAGAACACAACCCACTGGATTTTACAAAGCTATGCACCCACATCACTTTCCAATTAAAAATATTTTCATCTTCCCTCAAAGAAATTTCTTTAACAATTATTCCTTATTTCCATTTCTCTTTAACCACTGCAACCACTTATCCATTTTCTATCTCTATCAAGTTACCTATTCAGGACATTTAATATAACTGGAATCATACAATATGTGGCTTTTTGTGTCTGACTTCTTTTATTTAGCAAGTTTTCAAGATTCATCTATTATATAATAAACAATGTTTTATATCTATACAAAGGATATTACTCAGCCATAAGAAAGAATAAAATCAATTTGCATTTTAAAAAAAGAATATAGGGCAAATACTCAAAGTACTTAGTTGCCCAATAATGGATTTATACCAATTTTTTTTTCATTTTTTTGTTTTGTAATCTTTTGCACTCTCACTTCCCACAGTATTTCCCACAACTGTACCCTTTCTAAGTGCTTATGTAAAAACTAACACAGCCAGCCAGATGACCAATATGTGAGTTGAGGCAATGCTGAGAACAAAAGTGGTCTGTGTCTATCTCTGTCTCTCCATTTCAATACAATTTGGATCACTAATTCAAGAATTGTGAATGAAATACTTCAAGTTACAAGTCATTAGCTTTGTATGGCTAACTACGGTTCCATCCAAGAAGAAATTCTTTGCCAACATTCCAATCCTAATTTCCTACATAAACTCAGGTAATTAACAACTTTTATTTTCTTAAAGTTACTTACCTCAGCAAAATGGCAGAATTACAAGGATAAGAATTAACACAGAATTTTAAATGAAGCAAAATAACTCATTTAAAGCCCCTTTACCAAAGAATGTCCACAAAAGGTATGGAGACATCAGCAAAAAGGATGAAGTAAAAACCTTGAAAATTCTCCCCTCCCAAAAATCAATGAGAACACTGAGAGGATCACAACAAAAATCAAAAGTGGAAATAAACTAAAGCCTTAAGTAATCCAGGCAGTGTTTATTCAAGGAAAATTGGTGGAATCTTGGTTAAAAACAGCAAGCTTAATGGTGTTTTAATTTGCCTTATTTTCCATTTCACTCTCCCAAGCTCTGTGGTAGCCTTAAAACCCAACTGTCCCTAAGCATAGTGAAAACTAGCAGCCTGGCAGCCACAAGAAGAGGCAGAAGAGTGACAAACATCCTTCAATTCTCCTTTCTCAGAGAACTGTCATTATTACATTTGTCTGGTGTTTCTCTCAAAGACCTCACTTCGAAGGCTCTTTATTTACTGGACTTAGCCGTCCCAGTGTGAAAAGACTAATTCCCAAAGGTTAAATGAAAATAAACACAGGCAACTACTTAAAATTGAAGCTGCCTGAGGTGGTGATAGTCAGTTAGGGCAAATAATAGGCTAACCAAAAAGCTTCAAAGAAAAGGCCTAGGAATAAGATGTCCACAAGGGGCTTAAGAAAAGTTCTAACATATTCCTGGGAGTCTGGAAGACCACATGTAAGCCCACAACCATGTAAATGCTCAGGCCCTCAGCTCTCTCCCCTCTTGCCTAATCTTATGGCTCTGTGTAAAAAGGAAGTTAAGAATAAGGCAGAGTCAATAACTGTAGATGGGAGTGTTAAAAGGTGAGTCCCCACATGTACAAAGATCATTTCAGCACAGACTGTGTGACTTACTGGCTCCAAGCATTTAAGGAAATCTGCATTAGAATTAGATGACCAATAATCCAATTGAGTAGAGACAAGAAAGAATACAGACTTTACAGCATTTGTTTAGGAAAGTTACTAAACAAACAACAGATAGCAACACTGAACTCTGATGAAGGAAAATCTCATTTGCGGGTTGCCACATTATATTATTCAAAATGTCCAGTTCTCAACAACAACAAAAAAGTAAGACATGGAAAGAAATGAGGTAATATAATCAATACCCAGGGGGAAAAGCAGTCAACAGTAACTGATGTTGGATTTACTAAACAAACACTTTAAATCAGTTATTTATGGAATGATATAATTAAAAAACTTCCGCACAGCAAAAACAATTAGGAATATGAACACAGAACCTACAGAATGGGAGAAAATCTTTGCTAGTTACTTTTCTGACAGAGGATTAATATCTAGGAGATATAAGGAACTCAAAAAACTTAAAATCAAAAAAATCAAATAACCCAATTAATAAATAGACAAATGAATTGAACAGACACTTCTCAAAAAGAAATACAAATGGCCAACAAATATATGAAAAAATGTTCAACATTATTAGCAATTACGGAAATGCACACCAAAACTATACTGAGATTTCATCTCACACCAATCTGAATGACAGTTATCAAGAATACAAATAATAATAAATGCTGGAGAGGTTGTGGAGAAAAAGGAACACTTTTACACTGTTGGTAGGATTATAAATTAGCACAACCACTATGGAAGTCAGTATGGAGATTCCTCAAAAGACTAGGCATGGAACCACCATGACTCAGCTATACCACACCCCAGTATTTATCCTAAAGAATTAAAGGCATCATAGTATAATGATATATGCATACCCATGGTTACAGCAGCAAAATTCACAATAGCCAAACTATGGAACCAATCTAGATATCCATCAATAGATGAATGAATAAAGAAAATGTGTTGTATATACACAATGGAGTTTTATTCAGACAGAAAGAAAAATGAAATTATGTCATTTGTAGGAAAATGGTGGAACTAGACAGCATTAAGTGAAATAAGTCAAACTCAGAAGCTCCAGGGTCATATGTAGAAATTAGAGAAGAAAAGGAAAAAGAAAGGTGCTGGGGAGTATCCCATGGAAAACAAAGGGAGATTATCTGGTAGAGGAAAGGGACCAGTGGGGTGGGAGAAGGGGAAAGTGCTGGGGAGTAACATTGGCCAGATTTATATTGTTATATTGTGTGCATATACACATATGTAACAGCAAATCTCATCATTATGTAACAATACAATGTACCAATGAAAAATGTGGAAAGAGAAAAAAATTAGTTATTTTAAATATGTTGGAAGAACTAAAAAAAACTGGCTAAGTAACAAAAGTGTAAAGATAACTCTCAAATAGAAATATTAATAAAAAGACAGATATTATAAAAAAATCAAATAGAAATTCTGGAATTAAAAAATACAATAACTAAAAATTCATTAGAGGGATTCAAAAGTAGATTACAGCAGGTAAAAGAATCCATGAATCTGAAGATATGTCATTTGAGACTATCCATTCTAAGCGCCAAAAAAAAAAAAAAAAAAAAAAGAAGAAAAATGAGCATAGCTTTAGAAACTTATGGGACACCATCAATGTACTAACATAAATAAATAATGGCCAAAAATTTAACAAATCTGATGACAAACATTAAACTCGAAAGCTCAATGAACTCCAAGGAAGATAAAGTTTAAGTCCATACTTAGATAAATCATAATCAAACTGCTGGAAGGCAAAAAAGAAAAGGTGGAGAATAAAATATATATTCAAGATATTTTAGGAAAATGAGACTATAACAATTTCAAAAAGGAAGTATAAGTAATGTATAAAAATACTGGGACTAATACCCATCAGTAGCCTCAAATCTTCACAACAGATATTCACAGGTAGGGAGGATTTACCCCATTTCCAGAATTCCCCAAAACTAACCTGTGATAATAAGACATTCATTGTGATCCAGCACCTCAGTGAAGAGCCGTGAAACAATCAATTCAGGATTGATTAAAAAGCGGATTTCTTCTTGCACAAGTCCTGCACTGGTTACTCCACCTCCAACAAAACGATTTGCAAAATCCACCTGTTTAGGAAAATGTGGCATGTTAAATAATGATCTAAAATACCAGAATTATGATAAAGAAGCACATGCCAAAAAGTTCTAATCTTTTTATTTCCCATGAAAATCAGACCTCAAACGACTAATGTTCCCAAGGAGTCTGAGTTATACTTGTATACACTCGTAGTTATATTTGTGCCTTACTTTTCCCATTTCATTGAAGTTAATATGTCTGCATGTTTCTTTGAATTCCAAAAATGCAAAAAGGACCTCAGAAAAATTGTTTATGGGCGAAATATTATCTAGGAACTCTTATTTAATAAACCTTATTTGGGCTCCCCTGGTCATAAGTCAAGGGAGGTCTTCTGCTTGAAAGGTTTTAACATTATTTTCCTACATCCATACTTAACCTCATTTTATATATTTCATATGACTTTAATACAGCAATCAAACACTTGTCCTAAAGAACTGAAGAGTTTAGTAGTTGACTATTTTGGGATAATACCTTTCTTAATAATATTATATCTTTCTCTTCTGTGGAAGAATAAAAGGTATGGAATTTTTGTCCTAAATCACCAAATACATGAACATTACCAACTTATTTTTTGGGTACCAGCAATTGAACTCAGGAGGACTAGACAACTAAGTCACATCCTCATCCCTATTTTGTATTTTGTTTAGGGACACAGGGTCTCACTGAGTTGCTTAGTGCCTCACTTTTGCTGAGGCTGGCTTTGAACTCTTGATCCTCCTGCCTCACTCAGCCTCCCCAGCTGCTGGGATTACACGCATGTGTCACCACGCCTAGCCACCAAATATTTTTAAAAAATATACCTAAGAAAGAAAGAAACCTGGTATAAGAACAAAAATTCAACTAAATTAATATTTCCAATGTAGTCTGAAACCCATAGCTTTTTTTTTTTTCTTTTCTTCAGTGCTAACTATTGAACCCAGGGTCTTGCAAATGATAGGCAAGTGCCACCACTAATCTATTCCCCCAGTCCTACATAAGATTTAGGTAAAAGTATTATGAGATCTACTGATGAAGAAGAGCTACACAATTCTTGTGAGAATGCACTCAAGCTGCCAATGTTAATTCAGTTTATGTAAGAAATGGTGTCCATCTTAGCCTTAGGTTATTGTTAAGAGTTAGATTATACAGATACATATAATTTCTGTTCATACATATTCTCACACACAAGTAAAACAGAATTTACTAAATACTGTAAGAGAGGGTAATATGCTTTCCAACCACTGTACATTATAAGATTTCTTCAAACTTGTTTGTATTCTCTGAGGTAACTGATACTAAATGATAACCTAAAGCTAATTTTATAATAGAGTAGAACAAGAATTATGAATCAGGTCAGGTGTACTGGTACAAGCCTCTAATCTCAGTTAATCAGGAGGTGAGATAGGAGAATCAAAAGTTCAAAGCCCCCCAAGGTAATATACCAAGACCCTGTCTTATTTAAAAACAAACAAACAACAACAAAAAACCCAATAACTCCTGCCAAAAGAATGTACATCTTTTGCTATGTGAAAGTATATAGAAACTTACAGAAATCAAAATAGTCTTTACTCTTTTGTGTGTGTGTGTGGTCCTGGAGATTAAACTTGAGGGAAATATATCAACAAACTCTTAAAATGAGTTTGAAAATCATATATTTGGTTTTGTATTCTTTTTCTCTTTTTTCCTGGCATTTAGGATTAAACTCAAGGATGCTCTACCATTGAGCTATAACCCTAGTCTTTTTTTGTTTTGAGACAAAATTTCACTGAGTTGCTTAGGCTGGCCTCGGGTTTATAATCCTCCTGCCTTAGCATCCTGCGTCACTGGGAATATAGACAAGCACCACTGCACCTAGCTGGGTTTGTATTTGTAATCAGCACTAAAAAAAAGGGGGCTGGAGGGCAGGGGATGCCCAGTAACTCTTTAGCTTATATAGAAAAACAATTTTTGATGAAAATGTTAATTAGGTTGGTTACTTAGTACTCAGCTCCTGGCCTCATAGGATTTGCAAGTTAGATGGATGGGAGTCAGGAACATAAGCAGAATGATAAAGTGATAATTAAAGAGCATGTTAGTATGTATTTGTTAGTTTTCATATAACAGAATTAACTAAATCTGAGCCTGGGAGGAAGATTAGGAAAGCTTTACAAGAGAACATGGCAATCGATCCAGAGTTAGCTAACATATAGCCTGAGGCAACAGCTATACAAGGGACACAAGGAGAAACCCAAATGTAAACAGCTACATGAGAGGAATTATGGTGGCTTCACTGTAAAATACATCATGTGGATAGTTACAGTTGGTGATAAGTGGTTTGGGGTCTAGGGAATTTTTACTCAATTTTGAAGTTTCTGAGAAAGATTCATATGACAACTGAACCTGTGTCTTAGTATGGTACTTCAGGCTACAGTTTAAAAAATAAACTGGAAAAGTGTAATATTAAAAAAAAAAAAAAGCAATTAATCAGATGACAAGCATTATGAGAGCAGGGGCAAAGTAAGGGGGGAAGACCCAGCAAAGAAATGAAATTAAATGAAATGAAGTGCATTTGAGAACTGAGTCCATACTGAGTGCCTGCAAGTGTAATTCTACTAGAAATACAAGTGAGAGACCAAGGAGAGTTGAGATCAGTATAACTTAATTTTTACTGGAATAATTTACAGAACAAATAAAATACAAGCTCTATCCAACTTATGTACTATTTGATAATGATCATGAAATACATGCAATGTGAATGCTATTGTTTACTGAATAAAAGGTCAACAATTCATTATTTGCAAGGTGTACACAGAAATAAATGCACAAAACTCAATATGCCTCTAAAAACTGGGGTCTTTAAGAAAATAAAAGTTTCTGCTACTTAAAAAAGTTCTTAATAAAAGGCTCTCTATAACAGGTGATATACCTGATCTAGTACATGAAAACAAGCATATTAGTGTTTCTTTATTTTTAATCACTCATTTTATAAGTTTCTTTACTTTAACGCTACTTTATTCAGATTATTCAGCTTCTGAATTATAACTTGATGAAAAGAGAGAAATGATAACGCTCCTTAGAGAGGTTTTGTTGTTGTTGCCATTCAGTATAATGTAATTTATGTGCTACCCAAGGAGCTTTGAAGCATTGCAATACAATATTCCCTGATCTCCTGGGGAGATATAGCATGGGTTGGGAGAACAATTAATAGTGCTAGAAGCCTTTATGGTATTCTTTTAATCTACTGAGGTCTCATATTTCATCTATAATATATTCCAGGGAAGTGAGGAGAATCTCAGCTTCAAATGTTGTTAAGTAATTCCCTGTTGAATTATACTGTAATAAAAGGTCAGCATTCCTGTGGTGCTGACTAAGAGTAACTCTGTTCAGTTCATATGTATTAAGAATACCCCAGTTTACCCAAGACTTTAATGGAGAAAATAATCTCATAAAGAAGGGAATGTGGGGGAAGTAATATTCATTTCAAACAGTTTTTAAGTATATTTTGAAATTATGTTTTTGGGTAGAAGAAAAAATATATGATTGTACATATATTAAAATATTTTTTGGTGGTTTTTGTTTTTGTTTCTACAAATGTTAAATCCAGGACAAACTGTCAATTCAATTTTCCTAAATACTTTTGTTTACAAGTTCAAGTAATTACTAGGAGAAGGTGATCTGAAATAAAACACAATTCACTTCCTTTAAAATTTTAATTACAGATATGTCTAAATAAAAGGCCATTCTAAAAAGAATCTGATTCATCAGTCATTTGGAACATATGTATATCATAACTATGCACAAATCAGTCTAGTTAAATTCAACTGTTTTCTCAATATTGCTTTCTTTATAGCTTCTAACCCAATATAAGCACCAAATAAGGATCTAAGAAGAAAAATCCCCAGTATAAATGATATAATACACAAGCTTCTTTCAGAGAAAACTAAGTTTACAATGCTCTTACAAATGGGATAAAAAACACAAATCACTAATATATTGTCTGTGATTAGTGAATGTTTTGAAAAAAATGCTATAAATCAAAAGCAAAATATATGCTCAGGTTAGGTATTATGAGGTTTTAAAGCTAAATATATGAAGTGTTTTGTTAAGCTCTTTTGCTAAAAATATTTGTTTAACTAATGACAGTTACAAAATAATTACAAAGATTGAAGAATGGACAGAATTACGTGCTTTCTAACAGGAAAAAAGACATTAGCAAGCATAGCTAGCTCATGTGCTTAAAATTGTTATATATAGGAGAGAAGCTTTTCTTATCAATCAGTTTTAGATGTCTGCCTCCTAGACCTAAGGCTGTTGGTGGCAGAAAAACATCTCAAGCTGGTCATCATTTGGGGCAGGGCAAGAGCCTTCAAAACAAAGAACAAAACTGCCTGTGACAGCTTGTCAAGAACATACCCTAGGAACTTCTCCACTGTCAATCTACAATCAGTGTCTGAACCAAGAGGAACTAATGTTGTCCAGATCTTGGGACTTTCTGTCAAAAGGCTTTTTAAAGAGGCACATGTAAGAAACAGAGAGCATACACTGGCAAATAACAACATTACCAAGGCTGTCAAAGTGATCTGTTTGGTGTTTCTTTCCATTCTGCCATGATGCTTCTCTGCATTAAATCAGTTTAGGAGACAAATAAACAGCCTTTCAAATTTCCTTTTGTCAGAAGCTTGACAAGAAAAAAAGTCTTCAACATGCGCACAAACAACAGAGATTTACCTACCTGTAGCATGCCTTGTCCATTTCCTTCTATGGTACCTTCATAAGTAATATGCAACCGTGTCAGGGGTTTGTCACATCTATAATATAAAAATATATTCCTTTAATTTTTTGTTAATGATAAATAATTCATTACAGACAAATCTGAAAATATAGGTATCTAAAATATTGAAACAATTCCAAATCTCAAAAGCCAGAAATAGATGACTGCTGTCAATATTCCTGGTACTGAATCTCCCAAACTTTTCCTTCTAAAAATCTATAAAGAGGGGTTGGGGGTGTGGCTCAGCGGTACAGTGCTTGCCTAGCACATGCAAGGTCCTGGGTTCAATTTTTAGCATCACATAAAAGTATATAAATAAAATAAAGATATGTATCCAACTACAACTAAAAAATAAATATTAAAAAAATCTACAAAGATACATATTTAAATTAAAATTAGACAAGACATTATTTTGAAACTTGCTTTTCCTCCTTTTAATATCAAAGTTTCTCTTCTGTTAGGTAGCTGAGAAACTTGTTAAGACATAAAAAAATGAAGATCTATGATATTTAACTATTATGCTCAAGTTCACAGTCTAAGAAAAAAATGTAGAAAATTTGGCAATAAATCATATACAATTCTCAATGGGCTCTATTTACATGTGTTCATGAAGGGGTGTCTTGATGAAAATACATGCTATACAAATCCTGATCTGTGACATTTTCATATTAATAGATGAAAGATGAACCTAGGACCTATAAGTCACTCAGAAGACACAATTGTTTTCCTTTCAAAAATGCTACAGTTACTGAGGTGTTGACCTGCCTTATAGTATATTAAAAATCAATTTAAATAAATTAATAGCATTTGGTAATAATATTTTTTCTTTACAAGATTTTTCCCCTTGATTTCTTACTGCATAAAATATATAAATTAGCTGGGTACAGTAGCACATGCCTATAATTTCAGTGATTCAGGAGGCTGAGGAAGAAAGACAGCAAGTTTGAGGCCAGATTCAGCAACTTAGTGAGATCTTCAGCAACTAAATGAGACCCTGTCTCAAAAATAAAAAAGAGTAAGGACGTATTCAGTGATAAAGTACACCTGGGTTCAATCCACAGTTCCCAAAATACATACACACATACATAAAATTATAATAGAATGTAGTAGAGATTAGACCCAAACTCCTTATGTAAGGGTAGCAATAACTTTTTTGAAGGGGAGAATGATTACATTTTAAAAATAATAATTTAAAAGGTTAACTGGGAAGCCCTACTTATTTACTAAGATCGGCTTCCTAATTTTAATGAGTCCAAATATATTTCTAGCAAAACTTCAGGCTGATAGACTGTTAACTTTAACCCAAGAAGGTAATTCAGTAGAAGTTTTACTCTAAGGGCTTCATTTGTATTAACTCATTTAACTCTCAAAATAACCCCATATGATCTCCTTTGGAAATAGAAAACCAAAGCACAGAAAGTTTTTAAATAAACTGCTCAGGCAAGTAAACAATGTAGCAAAGATCTGAACCCAAGTAATACATCTCATTGGTCCAATCAGACCATAATTTTAGAAAAAAGTATACAATCCATTGTAGACAGTCCATAGGTTTGATTTTTTTTTTAAAACTTCCTTTTCTTGTTCCTACTTTCCTAGCCATTTTATTCAGAGACCACCTGTGAGGATACTACTGAAAACATAAAGAAGCATGGTCCAGAAATCTCTGGAATGTCAGTCAGGACTTCAAAACAGAACTCCCATCAACTGGCAACTATTCTCCATGGCTGAAGTTGTTATCTTTATATTATAGTTCTCATTGTAATTATGAAATTGCTAGAAACTATTTTTATTTGTTTCAAGTATTCTTCAACTTCCCAACAGGTCTCCTATTTTAGTCCCAGCAAAGCTTCTACACTCCTGTCCCAAGAATCAAAGACAAATGATTCTGGCTCTCTGCAATTAATGAAGCCTGGTTAAGTTATTTGCTGATGGGATCAAAGGGCTAACTAATGTTACAGAAACTGGGATTCAGAAAAGCCTTGGACTTTCTGGCACCCATGTAGCTCCTTATTCTTGACAATCAACAATCCTCATCTCTTCTTCATCCTCCCTTCTTAAATGCATATGTGTTTCTGGTTCTATGCAGTCTGGAAGACTAATTTTAATTACATTCTCCAACTCACTTATGAAGCAGCTAAATCAAACAAAGAAAAACAACAAAAAAGAGAGATCAATGAAATATAAATAAGTTAGAAAAAGTACCAAATTAAATTCTGCCTATGAAAGTTAAGGGGATAATCTTTGTTTGAGGGGGCGAGTTAATATATCTCATTCACATGGCAGTCTGCAAGTCTCTGCATTTTGACCTCTCCCTATTTCCAACAATGATGTACAAATGTGTATCCTTTCACACTGATGTCAAATAGGCTCTGTGAATGATCTATAAAATCAACAACAAAGTAGTATGTACACAACATTTGTATTCCTTCTAGAGATTAATAGAAAAGTGAAGAAAAGCAACCTTCTGTACTTTGGTCTGGCCAGATGACATAGCAGAATGTTACTTTTAGTTCTATGCACCATATTGAGAGAAACCAATGATTAGGAGTATGTCAAAGCAGGTTTAGAATTCCCAAAAGAGTATACTATGGACTTGTGTTCACTGTTAGAACTGTCAAGAAAATGTTTTCAAGATACTGAAGGAGGGGTGAATGTTGAAGAATATTATATATTAGATTTATTCTAATTCCAGAAGAAAGAACCAGGAATGGAAGGTGGGCTTATTTTGAGAAGACAGACATTTTTAGGGAATAAAATGTTAAGTTATAACACAAGTATCCACTAATGAAACAGACTGAGGTAAACAGTGAATTTCCCATCAGTGAAGTTGATCAGGCTCTATCTGTTGAAGGTATTATAGAGGTGATAGTATTTTTGGTAGGCAGATGGACTACACGACTTTCAGGGGTCTCTCTCATTTTTGATATGCCATGCTTTCAAACACTGTATATGTTGTGCTCCTTTTCTGGCTCTATTACTCCCCACCCTGCTTTTATCCACTTTTTAATCATCTCAATTATGCACTGAAGTAAGTTTTTCTTCACAAACACCTCTGATGGATATGAAAACATCACAGGAAAGCCACCTAAGCAGATATCTTCTCAAGTTAACTTCCTTTAAGAGTGATTCCCCCTATCACTAATTTCAAATAAAACAACTACAAACTAAGATAAAAATTACTAGTGAAAACACCGAGGCAGTGGTTAATATAAAATGCACATCTAAAAACATACATACATGTAGTATGCTTGATCATGTCCTCGCCTATTTAAAAAGTCAATCCACATTTTTAAATGCACTGAAAATTTCCTCTGGAAATGTATTATCTATTTCAGAGTACTGAAGATCTTACCATCTGAGTTAACTCAGACCTCCTCAGTGTTTTCAGGCATAGAATAATAATAATCTTAAAACTCTAATGAATTAGCAACAACATAAAATCTTCCAAGAAAACAGAAAGCCAAACTTAAAATTCCCCACTTAGATAAGTTCTAAATAATTACTGTTTATATTCCAACTAAATTTAAAACTTTCCCCAACCTTGTGCTCCAGAAAGAAGAGTCATAAAATACAAGCACTAACCAAGTTCTTACTTACACCAATATTTAAACCACATTTAAATATTGGTGTTCTTACTTAATATAGTGTCTTCACACACAAAACTCCTTAATTCAAAACAAAAACTTTGTTTCAGAAGACAAAACTAAGGCAGAATGGTAGAAGCCAAAGAGTTGCAGATTTTGACTGAAGTTGCAACTTTTCTAACAATGAGAGCTACTGATAGAGCATTTATGAGAAAATATTCCCAGCATGAGGGCAGTTATGAGGTTGAGTGCCTATCTTTCTAAGAGCTATAAATCAAGTCCTCTCATGGTTAAAAAAAAGAAAAAAGTCTAAAGGTATAACACTATTTTTATTATTGTTACCTTTCCCATTCTGGAAAATCTTCAAGACTTTGTCTTGTAAATGTCACCAACCCAGTAGGTTCTACAAAAGCAATAAACCAAAAACACACGCAAAGTTAAGTTTCAATTGTGAATTATCTGTAACAAATGAGGAAATACTGATTCTAGTACACAGACTTGGTATACAGTCCTTCAGTATCTGTGCGGGATTTGTTCTAGAACCCTCCTTGTGCATACTATAATCTGTGAATGCTCATGTCCCTTATATTTGCAAATAAACCTACACACATCCTTCTATATACTTTAAATCATTTCTAGATTACTTAAAATACCTAATAAAATATAAATGCTAGCTAAGTTGTTATACTACATTGCTTAGGAAATAATGATAAGAAAAAAAGTCTGCACATTTTCAGTACAGATGTAATTTTTTTTTAAGATTATTTTCAATCCATGGTAGATTGAATCCTCAGATGGATCAGATACAGAGGGCCAACTATACAGCAGAACAAAAGAATATCCTTACATTAGGAGCATCATCTATAAAATAGTAAGCCCTTAGTAAACAAAACTATATAAGTAGCAGCACAACAGAAGGATCTAAAGCTGGCACTTTTTGGTGGCATTTTAAAAACTGAATATACTTTTAAAAAGAGCACTAAAAATGCACAGTTGCTATAGCATAAACAATAAAGACAATTAAATTCCAATTTTTACACTCCTTTTGAAAGAAAAGCTTTAACCCTACACTCAAAGTCTGGTACTTTATGGTAAAGTAAAATTTTTCAAAAGGAAATCTTTGGCATGTCTTTTGGACTTAGCACAACTAAGTCCGGAGCTTAGATGATTGGCAATTACTATACTTTTAAGTATGCATATTAACTGGAAGAGGAATTACTGAGTCCTAAGAGTTTAGAGAAGAAAGATGAAATTTTAAAGGAGCAATACATTTGAAAGGCTCAAAATTTTAGAGGATAGGATCCTTTCTTGGTTAGGATTACTTTTTTGTTTTTTAAGCCAGTGGCAAAAGCAAAAAATAAATCTGCTGGCCAGAAGTAATTTGTCTGCTTCAAATAAAAGAACAAAGTAAAAAGGCCATGCCATTTCTGTTTTCTTTTGTTAAAGAAAAGAAAGAAAGAAAGAAAAAGCTCTTAAGCACAAAGAGTGATGTCAGGAACTATTAGTGATGATGGTGTCAAGCCCAACAGAAGCTTGGCCATAATTTCATTCATGTAGATAATTTCACATTTCTTTACTCCCAAGGACAAGCAGTAACGATTCAAAAATTACATGGAGCATCTACATTAGTAAACAATTTTTGTTAACACAAGTCTTAAAATATTCTTCAGATACTAACTTTAAGACAAAAGGGTAGCATATTTGAAACTCACAGGAGGCCAAACAATCCAAACATTAGGGAAGCAATTCTATTAATAGGAAATTAATGTCTATTTTATCATTCAGTCACTTGGCAAAGAACATTATTAAAAGTCCTTCATACATACTGAGAGAGACCACAAGAAATTCATAAATAAATACTGCTGGCAAAGCAAGAGAAAAGGCAGTATAAGGTTCTCTAGAGAAAATTACTGACAAAAATGCCTTGAGAACATGCCCGTTAGCTTTTTCCATAAAGGGGCAGAATTTACCTCAGAAGAGGGTATTTTGGTTAATCAAATACTTCTTTTAGTAAAAATCACAATATGTACTATATATGAATCATCAATTTTAAACATGTGACTATAAGATACTTTATCTAAAACTATATTGAAAATAATAACTCAGAAAGCTCTAAAAACTTTGACTCAAGATTTTCATTGTGAATATAAAAGTATAGATGTTTAACCATAATGAAAAGTTGGTCCTGTTGAAATTATGTTTAATCAGTTCTAAAATGCATGTTGTTTCACCTATTAAGTTTCTGAAAATGTTTTTTATAACGTAGATATCTTGCCATGGGTCTGGATTAAAATAGAATTTTCCCAGAGAAGATGGGCATCTGCTCCTTCCATCATCGGGAGGTGTCACCAAACTGAAACTACATTAAAACCTCTGTTGTAGGCCTTTACATACCACACTGGTGATAGGACTCCAGACATGATACTTGCGGTCTGTGGTTCAAATTCTCAGATATAAAATTCTCACCACGAGCCCCCCAGTGCAGTGATAAAGTTGGGACTTACAAGTTTCTTTATTATCCCTTTTCTTCACAGCCATGTTAATTTTTCATTTATCCTTGATCAAGGGCCAGAACTTTGATGCTTTGTGCAACAGGTTTCCTAACAGATTCCCCAAGCCTGAGTGCTTTCTCATTCTTAGACGTATATAATGTGATGGCACTTCCCACCATCTATGATGACTAAAGCCTCTATTCAGTAGGCTCTGGACCTCAATACAACTAATCATGCTGTAGCAAATTTCTTTAAGTCCCTTTATCATATCTTCCTTAGATTACTAGTGCTACATGTTGAAAACCTATAGCAACATTTCATTTTATTTCTACAGAGACCTAAATTATCATGTACAGTGAAAAAGCCAGAAATATTAATTATAGTTTATTTCTTCAACCTAATTCCCAAGATTTATGATGGCACATACATTTCTAATGAAAATTAAAAACAACAATAACAAATAATTTGCTTTTCCTCAGAGTATTTGAAATCCTAAAGCTCACAAAGAAAACTGGCTTTCAGAGAAGGTATATATGACTTGATACCCAAGACAGAAGAGTAAACTTTGAATTACTTACTTAGATTTAGAAAAAGGAAAATTTAGCAAAAGGAAACTTATGAGGTGTTCTGGTTTCCTTTATTATCAACTTGCATTAAAGGTAGCACTTTAAGCATATATATGCTTGTTTAATATCCCCAACTATTCTGTGAGGTAATTATCATTATTATTTTATTTCATAGATGAGAAACTGAACCATAGATGTATTAAACTTGGTCATGTCATTTAGTTCCTGAGGTAAGAGTAGCAATATTGTCCACTATCAAATAGTCATTGCCAGTCATTTGTTGGACATTTACTGTTGTTGCCTCAGGTCAGTCTGGGCATCCAGTTCTAGTCAATATGGTCCAACAGAAGTAGAAAGACATGTAAACACTTACAATCCAGTTTTATAAGAACTCTACAAAGGGATTGGGGGAAGCAAAAAAGATGAACGAATAGGAAACAATGAACTAATTGGCCTTTACAAATGAAGTTCAACTAGTTAATGCTTCTTTAAATAAACAGCATCCAATATATATTTCCTGTTCAATATACTTTCTTTTTAAAGTATTAATTTATTATTTTTACTCATAAAAATTCCTTCATGTATATTGCAGGTTTTATAGTATATGGGTGAGTTCAGAGTACACAGAACCCATGCACACTCATAGTACACATTTATATGTATCCATAACATGCATAAAATCAAGGTTATAACATTGAATCATTACTGTTCAAATGTATTTGGGACAATAAGGAGTACTTTAAACACAAATGTTCTTCACATGTCACTTGATTTTGAACTGTACTCATCAGTAAGAAAAATTATAAGAAGAATGAAAGGAATTTACTTTTCTCTGTGACTTTTCGAAAGTAACAGAAAAGTGTTTTAAGCTTCTCTGGTTTCCTTGATGAACGTCCCTCAAACAACCTAGAAGAGACCAAAAATAAAAGAGAATTGGTTTAAAATGCCTTAATAATTCACAAAGTACTTAAACTTATATTGCTACTAAGTAATCACCTTCCAGAAGGTAATGGCAAAGAACTAGAAAACAGATTTGATAAAAGGGCATCTGGAGAGGACTAAAATCCACTATACCCAGGCTCCCTGAAAACTATTGGAATCAGCCAGTACTCTCTACCCACCCACTTGTCCAATCCATTTTCCTCCTGGGAAAAGGTACCATCTAGTCTCCCAAGGTCAAGCATAGCCAGTCAGTTATTACACAGCATGTTCCCTGTGGCACATACTTATTTATAATGAATAATATTATTAAGCAGTTATATAACTGAACAAAAATATCTAAAAAAAAATCCACATTTGAGTAGTGAAGTGAAGGGAGTATGATGGAGGGGAGAGACATAGGTATGACAAGATACTGGGGACTGAATGTACAATTTTTGGTAATTAAGCAGATCTTGCTATAGATAAATGCGCCCTCCCAATGCTCATATGTTGAAGCTGGAATTCCCAATGTGGCTTTATTTGCAGATAGGGCCTCTGAAGAAGTGGTAAAGGTTTAAATAAGGTCATAGAGTACAGCCCTAATCTTACAGAACTGGGGTCCTCATAAGAAGAGGGGGAGACACCTGGACTCTCTGCCACGTGAGAATAAGGTGAGAAGGCAATAGTCTATAAGACAAGAAGAGAGTCCTCATCTGGAACAGAATTCATTAGCACCTCAGTCTGGGATGTCTACCCTTCAGAATTCAAAGAAAATCAATTTTTGTTTTTAAGCCACACAAGCTATAGTATTTGTTATGGCAATTAGAGCTGACTAATATAGATCCTTTGCTTGGTTACCAAAACAGTGCCTATGTTATCCAGTTTACAGCAACCTAGATTTGCACTACTTAATTTGGTTTTCTTTGAAATGATGTGGCATTGTTATTGGTAACATAATTCAATTTGTCCTGAGGAAAGAAAAGCAGGACTTTAGAAGCATATGACCTGAATAAGTAGTTCTCTCTAAAAGATTTCTCACACAAAAGCAGGCTTTTGGGAATAAAATCTAGCTTTCCAAAGGCATTTAAAAATTACAGGAAAATTCATTGGCTATAAATGATGAGGATTCTCTGCCTCTAGTCATATACTCTGACTTTAAAACCAGAAACCCTTCAAGTAAAAGTTCACTTTAATAAGTGCTGAAATAGGTAACATTTTTCATGATTAGAAGAGCAAGCTTATGTAACTATGCAGAGAAGGAAAAATAATTTCATGAAAAAATCCTACTGAGCAATTGAAATGAATTAAGAAAAGGGAAGGAAATGCGGATTTCAAATGATCCTGTTTACAAGGATCTGAAATCTGTATTCAGGGTCAACTTCTGGCAAAAGAATTTATATGAAATTTCCTAAAAAGAATACTCATGTTGGGTAGCATTTTAACCTAACCTAAAATGTAATCTATTTTTAAAAATAGTTCAAAGATGTTTATGTGATAATTTTTACTCATTTAAAGAATTTAAAATATTAAAGACTCATACTTAAAATGCAGTTGGCAGCTGAAAATAGGCTCTTTGAGAGTACAGGTTTCAGCTTGATTTCTTCTGCAATATGTCAACCAGTGTATAGTTTGTTTAAATCAAAATGATAGTCAAAATGAAGAAGGCACTTGGCAGTTTAATTAAACATCCTATACCAATAAATATGATTTACTAAATGAATACTTTAGGCTTCACTGCAAAATCCTTTTCTAGGCTTATTACTTATAGATGATAGCAGTATGAATACAAAAAGCAGTCACTACCTTTTCTACAGATGAATTGATATATTGCATAATTCAATTAAGAGGGAAAAGTTCTTCTCCAATAGAACTACTGCAGAGAGATGACAAAATGGCTGCTGCCCTTAAGGAATAATTCCTCAAACCACAAAAAGAAAGTGTCCCTAGCTTCTGTGTATGAATCAGCTGTTTGTAAAATTTCATAAAAGTCCACATATTTCACAACCATGATGACAAATTGTTAACCTCAGGATTCTCTTGGGACTGCAGATTTATTACCCTGGTGATATGGATTTTCCTAGAATATCATATTGATGTTATATCACTACAAATGAGTGTCACTTTACTAGTCCAAATCTTAAAGGAACAAATCAAGGAGAATATCAATGTATTACAATTATTTACTGCTCTATGTCTAATTTCAAATCATAATGTAACCAAAATATGCTTTCCCATCTGAGCCAAGAACTGTGTTTGGGGGGGTAGGTGGAGGGGGTGAAGATAAATTCAGAGAAGATAAAGCAGGTTTAAATCCTTATGATAATTCTCAGACTTAGCTTATTATGACATTTCAAAGAACTATGTATAGCCATCTAAATAAAACATTATCTTATTATGCAACAAGTAAAAACAGAAATATATAGGCAACAAGCATTAATGAAAGTCATCACAAGAGTGATGTTCTCATACATAATATGAGAAACTGTTGGAGTAGGAGAGAGAAAACAAAGGGTCTAAGCTTGGAAGACAAGATGATGGGGGAAGGCAAATCAAGTCTGATGTAAATGGGGATGAAGAAAGAGGGAGCCTATGAGATACAGATACTCACAGAGAGGTTGGGGGGAAACTTAGAAAAACGAAGCATCATCTGAGTTTTTAACTTCCCAACACCTTTCTCTTAATTTAGATTTTTAGTTTTGGGAATATATATTTGGAGGTGATTTTGACTTGGCAGCATGTATATTGATATGCACACAAACCAGGCCACTAACAACCCCTGTGCATGTAGGGAAGATTCTCTAGCATTTCACTAACTCAGAATTACAAATTATTTTTAAAAGAAACAGAAAAAACCAGTTAGGCACCCAGACTCTTTTTCTAAACAAAACATTCTGCATTTTCAAGGGAAGAAGTCAATCAAAGGTCAGAAACTTATTAATTGGTACCTTCTTTTCATATTTATAAAGAGAAACACAGTTTAATAAAATCTTTCCCTGGATGGAATATTGATAACATTACTGGAATTGAATTCTAGACACACATACCCATGCCATTTTAAGTAAAGGATTAATTCCATTAGTATACAGTAAATCAAAACTAAAGTATTATAACCTCCACTTTAAAATAGAAGCAAGTGATAATGTGGGACCCAGCCAGAAAGTCATTTCTGGCTCTTCTGTGAGGCACTCTGCCATATGGCTCCAGCAGCATTTTCAATCTAGGGAAGGCAGATGTAAAAGCCTCCTGGGCTGACCACTGCAGAGACCCACAATTTATCTCTGACCATCTAGTTTCCATGCAATCTCAGAAGCATCAATGCTAATCACATTGGAAGCCTTTATATGAATGTTTAGGCCCTGAAAGGCAAGCAGGGGAAAAGGTCAGGGGTATTTAACATAACTAAGCAGGTCTGGAAGAACACAACAATAAATAAAAAGGGAAGACTTATTCAATTTATTGACGTCAGCCTTCCACCACTCTTGCCATTTTTCTTATTCAATCAACTAGCTACTATAACTCATTTGAGATTAAATATACTCATACACACACACACACACACACACACACACACACACACACACCTCTGAACTGCCAAAAATGACTCATTTTAATAGAAATTATACAAAAAAGAACACACAATAACAACAAAATGCTATATAATTAGATTACCAAATAGCTCATTAGATTAGGTACTTGATCTTTTAAGAAACCACATGAAAAGGGAATTTGGGGTTGTCTTCTATTTCTGAAGTGCTCTCAGAGCATTCTGCTCTTAAAAGGCAATGAGATATAATGAAAAGCACTGAGTTTGAGCAGAAGGCAGTGTTCAAGTCCTAGTTCTCTTGACAAGTCCCTTACTTACCATGAACCTTAATAGTAAGAAGCTTCCCTACCTAAAAACTTCCATAGATAGAATCAAAGTGAGCCATCAATATCATTCCTATTGTTTAGTTTAGATCCATTAAAACACATTCCATCTTATAAAAGCCGGCTGCTAAGAAGTTCCTACAACAATTATAAGATTATCACAGGCCTACCTGCTTTAATTCATTTTCAGTATTCTGCCATCCAAAAAAACATCCATTAGGCTTCTCACTAAGGTTCAAGAAGTAGTAATTCTGTTCATTCAAAGGGAGCTGTATAAGAGGGTGGTGGTTAAGGGACACTGCTTTTAGAAGCAGACTGTTTCTTGAGTTGAATCTAAATTTTACTAGTTACTATGTTAACTTGGTGAAAGTAACCTACCTTCTCTAATCCTCCATCTCCTCTAATCTGGAAAATGGAAATAACAACAACTAATCAATACCTAATTCAAAGTTGATGTGAGGATTAAGTACGAAATAATTTAACAGTGATTAGCACATGGTAAATGCTTAACAAATATTAATTGGGAAACATTCTCAAGCTAGAAGATTTCAGATAATGTCAAGTAAACTGAGGTACTTAGGGTAAAATAAGATATTATATAATACCTGGGTATTATATAATATCTTAATACCTAAGATATTATATAATACCCAGCAAAAAGTCACTTTATACATTTGCATAAAGTGCTTACACTGTTCTAATCTATATTCCTTTCCTTAAGAAAAATGGCTGAGCCTTGCTTTTCATCAAGCCTAACAGGTAAACACTTGGCCAATCTGCTTAGTCTTCAGGATAAATCACCATGAACAATGAAAAAGATAAAATCACCATCGCCAAGAAGCCCTAGAGTTTCCCTGTCGGAGTTTAGTTGGTTATGAAAATTTAACAGTGGTCCATCTTATGCTCTGCTTGTAGCCCTTGCTGCTCTGCCACTGTGACTTATTTTTTTAAAAAAAATGTTTTGTTCTCTTCCTTTCTCCCTCTCTTCCCTAATCTCTCCCCCTCTCTAATCTCTGGGGAAACAGGATTGCCTTTCTTCTCCATCCTAGACAGAACACACACCCACCATAGGAACTAAGTATTCAGATATTGAGAATGGCACCAGAAATGACTATCTCCCCAAATTAACAAGTGAATTGCAACTCTGATAAATAACAAGTAGAATATAGCCTCTGAATCACCCCTTAAAAGCCCCCCATTCCCCTGATGGGCAGAATCACAGCCTCTGGGACAGGAGTCCCCTGTGCTTTTCCTTTGCTAGCAAAGCAATAAACATCTTTTTCTTTTTTGTCGGACTGAGCTTTTGATAACAAAAGTATAATAACTGGTTTATAATACTATATGTAATAAAAAGCAGGAGAGAAATGGAAAAAAAAATAAAAAAACCAAAACCCAAAAAAGTCAAGCCTCCAATATCCAAGCTGATGAGATATAATTGCATAAGAGGCAGCATTCCTAAGAACTAATTCAAAGTTAGCATCCTCATGGAAACTAACAACTCTATAAAGTTGCATTCCAAGTTTTGCAACCTGTGATCTAAGGAAATCTAATTTCAAATATCCTTCAAAGTGCTCAAACTAAAAGTATAGTAATATTTGCAATTATTATATGTCATAGCAAAGCAACAAAACTTCTTTTTCCTTTTTCTCAAAACTGCATCCTTACTTTTCAGTAACAAAAGGAGTCATGGATCTTTGGGGAAATGGTTGATTCCAGGACTGGGACACAGAAAATATAGGATAAACCTAGAATACTTTGAGTCCAGAAAAAAAGATAATGCTCAAAAAAAGAATGGGGACTTGTCAAAGAAAAGTCCTGAAGGAGCCCTAATAGCCAGAGCTAGAAAAATTTTAGCAGCAAAAATGAATAATGATTGTAATAGCAATGAATCCATTTTGATAGTAAAAGGGACAGTTCTTCCTTGTAAGAGTGCCTTTACAGTGGAAAAATCCAGCAGACATTACCTTAAGCTGATCACCAGTGCTAAGATGAATCATTAGCCCACTAAAGTGATGCACTAAGAACACAAGATATTTCTGTGGTATTTCAGCCCAAAATGTATGACCTCATTCTATTTGTGAAAGAATATCAGCCAAATACAAAACATTCTACAAAATAACTAATAAGTAGCCTTCAAAAGTATCAAAGTCATAAAAGAAAATAAAAATCTAAGGAACAGGTTGGAGGAGATCAAGAAAACAAATGCAATATGGGATGCTGGGCATAATCCTGGAATAGGAAAAAAAGGAGTAGAAAAACTAGCAGAATGTAAAAAAGGTTGATAGTTCAGTTCACAGTACTACATCAAATGTTAATTTACTGATTTTAATCATTTAACTATGGTTACAAAAGATATTAACATAAGGTGAAACTAGGTGGAGTTGCATACAGGAATTCTGGGTATTTTTGTAACTTTTCTGTAAGTCTAACATTGGTTTAAAAAAGTGTTTTTTTTTTTTTAAAGTTCATTTAAAAGGCAAATTAAAATAAATGGTTACTGCACCATGCCATGTTTAAAACAAAAACAGTATGTAAGACGAAAATGACTTTTTGGTTTGTTCCATGACCATACCTCCTACTTGGCACACTACCCACACTGATCCACCCTCAGGGTTGGGAGATGGGTGATCAAAGGTGGCGGAGTAAGGCATTATACACAACCTAATGGAAAAGAGGAACACATAACAATTTTCTGAAGACCCATTAGGTATCAGAAAAGAAAATTCACATTCTGTTCATAGATATCATAAAGATAATGCTCAAATGAAGAAAGAAAAAAGACTTGGAGGATAATGGATCAGAGAATGGGAGGGATGGGAAAAATGATATTCATTTGCTAAGAAGATGTCTTATTCTCACTTGGGAAAACTGACAAAATCTGAAGCTTTATCAACACTTTCATAATGTGCTAATTTAGTCAAAAATCATTTGTACATTTCTTTGTCTTCCATTAAAAAAATTACATTGATAATCGTGTCAAAGTCACTTTTCATTTTAAGTATATTTTTCAAGCCTCATGATTTTATACTCCTTACAAGATCTTTACAGAAATGACTTTCACTCCCACTTTAATATTATTTCAGCATATAAGGAATATAAAGTACAATAAATATTCCTGTGAATAGTCAAACTAAAGCATGTGGAATCCAGAGTATTCAGATGAGGAAGATAATCTCATGGACATGGGCATTGTAATACCGAGACGAAATCTCAGTTCTGTGACTTACTGGCTCCTGGATCCCAATCAAGTTCTTTACCTCTATGAACTTTAATTATCTTGCCTGCAAAATGGTAAAAACATCACTTAACTCTTAGTAAAGATGAAATCAGATAATTGTACATAAAATGCTTAGCCCATGGCAAATTATTCAAAATTATTGTTCCTTTCACTCCTCTATTTCACTGCTAAAGAAGTGTTCTGAAAACATACCGATTAAAGTTAATGTCTGGGTAACTAGAATACTCCGATTTCATTTTAGCATTTCGTCGGGGAAATGTGCAGAAAAAAGCATTAGCTAAAAGACTGGCAATCTGTTCCTGGGACATTGTGATGGAATGATTCATCTTCTGTTTCAGGAGTGGTATTGGCTGATGGAGGAAACAAAAAACACAGACAAGAAAAGCAATAATTAGTTTAGCAATTTTGAAGGCAGAAGCACCAAATTGCATTTGCTATTTTAAAGCAGGAATAATTTCAGGCCACTCCTGAATCCTTAAATCAACAATATTGTTAAAGCCAAGGGCTGCTTATCAGGGATGATTGAAAAAATGTAGTTGTTTGACAAACTACAGATTTCTAACCAATAACAATGATAGTGAAAAGAACACAAAACATTACTTAACTAGAGTGCTTAACCAAGTAAGTAGAAAAACATTACCCATGTAATAAAAAATTAAAACAAAAGATAAAACAAAAAAATACACTGAATTTAGGTATTATTACATAAGTTAAATAAATATTATTCTTATACAAAAAAATTGTCAGAGCAATATTTCTTATTCCTAATAAAATGACTTAAGGAAAATAAATGAAAACACAGTTTCTCTTATTCTAAATCACATAATACAAGTGAGAATTTCTTTATGAGATCCAAATACAATTTTATTAAAGAAATTAATAGAACATGCAAAAACTTATGTATAATTTACAACAAGATAGGCATTTCTTACATAATCAAACATCCCAAATCAAGAAATATACAATAGAACATTTTTCTTTCAAATATTTTATGTCTAAAATGTCTTCTACTTGCACCAAACCCAAATTCATTGACTTCCACTATCAATACAATCCATAGGACCTGAGAATTATATTCAGTGTATTTTATTCTATTTTTAAATGTTTAAATGTGTAAAAGATACACCAGTACAACCAAAGACAAACTTCCAGCTTATTGGAAGAACAGAGTTGTTTTCATCCAGGAGAAAAAGCTGGGAGCCATGAATTGATTTGTTCTACCCAGTGACTTATTATTGCTTACAAATTTAGATGTTTTTGAATCACAAATATGTCATTAAATGAAAAATAGAAACTTTGTGTCCTATAGCAAGAGGGAGAAGTGAAGTGATTCATGGCTAAAGGATAGATACAATTGATTATGAACTACACACTGAATTTAAAAAGCATTTAACTGAACACCACACAAGACCCATAAAGAGGCCAGGCGCAGTGGCACATGCCTGTAATCCTATAGCTCTGGAGGTTGAGGCAGGAGGATCATGAGTTCAAAGCCAGCCTCAGCAAAAAAGCAAGGCACTAAGCAACTCAGTGAAACCTTGTCTCTAAATAAAATACAAAAAAAGACTGAGGATGTGGCTCAGCGGTCAAGTGGCCCTGAGTTCAATCCCCAGTTCCAAAAATAAAAAAAGACTCCCCACAAAAAAGGATCTCTCTTCAAGGAGAATATAAAGACAAGACATAAAATAAAAACAATGTGGGAAGTATATTTGAATGCTACAGGATAAACTATGCTCTGCTGGTAAAAGGCAAGAAAGCCTCAGAGGGAAAAAAGTAAAGTCAAAAGCTATAAGGTAATGAGAGATTTTACAAAGTAAGGAAAGGAGAGAACAGAAAATGAATAAACAAGAATGTAATCAAACAATTTCCAAGAGAAGCACTAAGAAAAGTTGTTTTAAACAGTATTTCCTTCAGTCAGGCTTAGTGGCACATATTTATAATCCCATTTACTCAGGAGGCTGAGGCAGGAGGATTATAAGTTCAAGGCCAGTCTCTGAAACTTAGTGAGACCCTGTTTCAAAATATAAATTAAAAAGTGCTAAGGATATAACTCAGAGGCAGAGCTCCCTGGATTCAATTCCCTTTTGGAGAGAGAAAAAATAAAATTCTTTTCTAATGTAAAACTTTTTTTGTGTGTGTGTGGTAATACTAAGAATTGAACTCAGTAGCATTCTACCACTGAGCTATATCCCCAGTTCATTTTGATTTTTTTATTTTGAGACAGGGTTTTGCTAAATTGCCCAGCTGGCTTCAACCTTCCAAATAACTGGGACTATAGGTATGTACCACCACACTGGGCATAAAATTTAATTTAAACACAATGTATTACTGAGGTAAATTAAAGTTATATACCCCTGAAAACATCTGAGTTAAATGCTAATAACTGTGGCAGGCTGAAAACATTCACTGGTTTTCTACTGAAGATGGCATGGTCCCAAGTAGACATCTGGACAGGTGTGGATAGTTTAGGGTTCTTCCAATGACTATGCTTATGGTTTTGAGGTGTGCTATGGGACAGGGCATCCCATACAATCAGAAACATTTCAATCCACAATGTTCATAGGGCCCTGTGGGAGTAACAGTATTAAAGAATCCTGCTAGCATCTAGCAAAAAGGGGGCTACCCAAAAAATAAAAGACAAAGGCAAATTCAAGTTACTATTGTGAGAAACACGGGAAGAAAAATGAAGAACAAAACAACAATCTTCTATGTAGGGTTGAAATATGTTCATGAATTCTTCGATATTTTGATACTTTTCCCTTTAAAAAGTGAAAAGCCCCTATCCTTGAGTATGATTTAGATTTAGTGACCTGATACTAATAAGTAGAAAACTGGTGGCAGCAACACTGGGTACTCTGGGAAACTTTGTCAAAAAGGTACTACAGCTTCCTCAGTCTCTCTCTTGGAAGAGGATACCCAATAACCAAACAGAAAGGTCCACATGAACTCATCCTGCCACCAGCAATGTGAGTAAGCCAACTAAGTGGGCCTTCTAGCCCCAGTTGAGCCTTTACAAAACCATAGCCTTGGCCAACATCCTGACTATTAACTACAAGAGAGACTCTGAGCCACAGCTTTTCAGCTAAGCTGCTCCTAAACTCATGACCAATAAAAACTGAGATGATACTTGTGAATTGTTTTAAGACAATATTGAGGTCATCTGTTATGTAGCAATAATATCTAATTAATACATTCCAAACAAAATAAAGCAATAATGAATTATTTTATTTTTTTAAAAAAGTATCATAAACTCATTGGTTTAACAATATATCACTTTAGAGGACAGTAAAGGAGTGTATAGTATTAAGCTGTTTTGAAAATAAAATATCCCAATTCTATTATTATACTTTGAAATAATGATTAATTTTTTAAAAGACAGAGACTGTTTAAACAAAAAGAGGAAAAGAAGTCTAAGTAAACAAATGTCCACAATGTAAACTGAAGCTCAAAAATTGAACACTGCATCTTTAATGTCATTTTGTAGTATTCATTCTAGCCTCTAACCTTTCCCTTAACATAGCAAAATTATCATATTCTTGGGAAGAAACTGTTCCTCACCTTTCTCTTTACCATTCTTCTGACTTTGACCATGAGAATTTTAAAAACATCCAACTGTAAGTCTTAAGAAAGCTACAAAGGGGCTGGGATTGTAGCTTAGTGGTAAAGAGACAATAGATTCGATCCTCAGGATTACATTAAAAAGAAAAAATAAACAAAGACATGCTGTCCACCTACAACTACAAAATTAAAAAAAAAGACTAGTGAGGAAGTTAAATTCACTAACCTGGGTGCAAATATTTGGCAGACAGAGTGCAATTTTCACCATATCAGGCAAAATGGATTGGTATAAATGTTGAGCTTCTGCTTCTTCAAGTACCTGAAAAACCAACAAAACATGTTAGGTGAATAATAATAAACACTGGGTAATAACCAATGAACAAATATTTGTTATAAAATTTCGAATTTATTTTTCATGAAAGCCCATAATAAGATGTTATCATCACTACCAAACACATGTAGAATCACACTAACTAAAGTACCAATAAACTTACAAATTTATTTCCTTTTATATATAATATACCTTAATGCTCCCCCAAAACAAATATCCCCCAAATCAAGTATCTTTCACTGTTGAGAGCCACAGCCGAAGGGGCCCCAGCAAACTTTCAGACTGCCAGCTGATGATTGGCTCATAAATGGTTTAAATTAAATTGGGTAAACAACTGTTGAGGATTTTTTAATATGTGAACAAAAAAGGAGGTTAACAGATCTGTTTGTTTACTTTCACCTTTCCTTTTCATTATATTTAATAATTCTCTTCAAGATAATGTAAATTGTTAAGAAAATTGTTTTCTTTTAGTGCCTTCTGGAATGTTACATAATTTTTTCTTCAGCCATTATTGCCAGAATTCCTATCTTCAACCCAGTGCTGGTGAAGACAAAGATAAAACCAATCTACAGCTTCTGCAATAGCCATCACTGAAATGCTTGCAGAACTTGCCTGACTATGTATCACTTATATGCATTGTGAACTATCTGTTGGTGCAGTGACTTGTGGTAGTGTTGGGGTATTTTTGCTGATGACGTCATCGGTGGTACAATTTTTCCAAAAGGAGCCGTCAATTGGCTTGGTGTATCTTCCTCCCTTCTGCTTGTCATGATCGTTCAGTTAAAATTTGGGGGCCAACAGAGGTGAGGCAAAGAACCTCACCCCCCTGCTGGTACAAAGACCTATCCACAGGTGTGGCTGTATATTGGACCTGTAGTCAGTGACGGTTAAGATCCAATTGCAATGGTACCAACCTAAGACAGGAGGCTGACGCCTTGAGGTCAGCTCATCCGATAACGGGTAAGGACCATATGTACTATTGGACAGCCTAAGGCAGGCATGGTCCCTAAGCCACATGCTTGTTGTTTAAACAGAGGGGGAGATGTTGAGAGCCACAGCAGAAGGGGCCCCAGCAAACTTTCAGACTGCCAGCTGATGATTGGCTCACAGCGGCCCCAGCAACTTCTAGCTGATTGGCTCCTCTGTGGTGATGCTCATTGGGCTGTTTCCCCGCCCTTTCAGACTATGGAGCTGCTCATTGGGGGACCTTTTTTGACTCCGCCCATGTGACCCAGCCAATCGGCCTCAAGAGCAGGAAGATTGTGGGAGGGGGAGAGGCTTGTGGTTGAGAGAGGCTTGTGGGAAGCCGGTGGTGGCAGTTGGGCTCTGAGGGTTTTTCCTGAGGAGCTGTTTTATTTGGTTCTAAAAATAAAGTTCATTTCTTTTGACAAGTGGCTCCTGAATTGTGCCCAGTCAGACTGCGGCATTTCACATCAACCTTAATTATCAAATACAATACTTGTAAATGAAAAAGAGTATACTCTGCCCTTGACCACCCCAAGTGAAAACTGCTAGACAACCAATGACTCTCTCAGAAGCTCTAAAAGACCCATTGAACTTTAGAAGCTTATAAGTTATAGTATATACCAAAATGTAACTTTACCGGGTAGGAAACAATGAGGTTTCTTATGATCTTAGAATTTTCCCTTTCTAGGTACACTTGGGAAGTTAAAAATCACAATTCCCATATCATAATTTGAAATAAAATAAATTAAAAATTTCCATCTCTGTAAGCAAGCGAACATGAGACAACTGTTACTTTAGGGGAAAATAAAAAGTTGTACAAAAGAAGAAAAGCAATCACAGCTCAGAAATAGTGTTTACAACATTCTATTGAAAAAAATAGGAATGTGATAATTAGGGTGGAAAAATGAGGAGGCAGCAGTAAGGCTTATACTAGTTGTGATGAGGAAATGGGAATTTATGCTAAGACCTAAATTCTTAAAGGGAAGTCAACACATTATAAAAAACAAAAACAAAAGGAGTTCACAGTAGTCAACAGGATTGCCTCTTCACAATAAGCCTCTTTAACTCTGATAAAAATAAAGGCTAGGCTGGATGTAGTGGTGCATGCTGTAATCCCAGATACTTAGAAGGATGAGGCAAGAGGAACATAAGTTCAAGACCAGTTTGTGCAATTTATCAAGACCCTGTTTCAGAGTAAGATTTCAAGAAAGGGCTGGGGAAGTAGCTGGTGGTAGAGTGCTTGCCTAGCATGCATGCCTAAGTCCCTGATTCAATCCCCAGTGCTGCAAAAAAAACAAAAACAAAAAACCCAAAACACTTAGAAGACATTCTACTACTTTAAATATTTGCTTTCCTGTATCTGAAAATATATAAATACATTTTAATATATTAAAATACTTGTTTAAAATACTCAAACTCGGGGCTGGGGATGTGGCTCAAGCGGTAGCGCGCTCGCCTGCCATGCGTGCAGCCCAGGTTCGATCCTCAGCACCACATACAAACAAAGATGTTGTGTCCGCCAAAAACTGAAATATATATTTTGGAGTTTTCTCTCTCTCTCTCTCTCTCTCTCTCTCTCTCTCTCTCTTTTTTTTTAAAAAAAAAATAAAATAAAATAAAATAAAATACTCAAACTCTTCCTGAATATAACTTATCTTTTTGCTTTTTAAAACTTTATTTTGAAGTAATTTTAGATTCAAAGGGTGTTGCAAAAATAGTATAGAGAGGTTCAGTATACCTCTCACCCAGCTTCCCTCAATGATTAGATTTTATACAAGTATACCACACAATCAAAACAAGTTAATTAATGCTGGTACAATATTTATCATTCTATACCATTTTATCATGTGTGTATATTTGTAAACCATCACCAAAATCAAGATACAGAAGTATTCCATTACAATAAAGATCTCATACTACCCATTTATAATTACTCATTTTCTTCCTCCCATTTTTCCTAACCCTTAGCAACCACTAATTTGTTTTCCATCTCTATAACTGTCATGTTATACAAATAAAATCAGTTTGTTTTCTTTCAAATTGATTTTTTTTATTCAGAATAGTATCCTTGAGATTAATTCAAGTAATTTCAATTATCAATAGTTCATCCTTAGTCATTGCATTCCATAATATAAATACCATATAGTTTGTAAAGCCTTTCACCAACTGAGGAGCATCTTGCTTTCAGTTTTGGGCATTCCAAATGGCTATGGTTTGGATATGGTTCAAGTATGTCCCCCAAGAGTTCACAGGTTGTGAGAGTGGTCCTCATTGTAGTAGTAAGACCTTCAGGAGCTTGAGCCTATTGGGACATCACTAAGAGTGTGAGCCTTAGAAGGGATTATTAATGTAGTTTTCCTGGGACCCTGAGTTAGTTGAGAGAGTTGTTATATAAAAGAAATAAGGCTATTTCCTGGTCTCTCTAGCTTCTTATGATCTCTCTGGTCTCTTTATATACTGCCCCCATAGTGCTCATTTGCAATGTGAAACAGCCAAAGGGACCCTCACCAGAGCTGAACCAATGCCAGTCTTTGAACCTCCAGAACTGTAAGCTAAATACTAATGGAAAACAGCCTAATACACAAATAAAGCTGCCTTTTACTCTGAAAATATGTCATTTCTCTTTCTGCTTTCAAGATTTTTTCTTTGCTTTTAAAGAAATGTGACTAGGATATGTCTTACTGAGAGTATCTTTGGGTCTATCCAGTATGGGGTTCACTCCACTTCTGAATCTGCAGGTTTATGTGTTTTGCCAAATTTTGAAAGTTTTCAGCTATATTTTCTTTGAATATTTTTCCAGTCCTACTATCTTTCTCCTCTCTTTCTGGTATTTTTATGACATGAAGGTTAGATCTTTTATTATAGTCACACGGGTCTCTACACTATTCTGTTTTGTCTTTTTCTCTCTGTTAGTCAGATCAGTTCTTTCCTGTTATGCCCAATCTCCAATGAATTCATAAACAGCATTTTAATTTTTTTTCAGTTAATGGAATTTTCAATTCTAAAATTTCCACTTAGTTGTTCATAACATTTATTTATTATTGGGACTCTGTTTTGTTTGTTTCAAGCATGATATTAATTGCTCATGGAAGCCTTTTAGTGCTTCAAAGGCTTTGTGCTACTTCTTTCCAGTCCCCGTGTTTTCTGATGAGAAATCTACTGTCATTAAAATATCTGTGGTGGCTGCTTTAAAACCCTAACTAGATAATTCTTTCACCTGTGTTATCTCAAGAGTTGGTGTCTATTCATTTTCTTTTCTCATTTCAGTTGAGATTTTCCTAGTTCTTGATGATGAGTTATTTTTTATTCATACTTTTAATTTGGAAACGGGGTATGATGTTATGAGACTTTGGATCTTACTTAAATCTTTTATATATAAAGCAGAATTTCTGTGATACTTGGCCAACAGAAAGGGATAGCATCCATTACTTCTAGATGGATATGAAAATTCAGGTTCCCCAGTTGGCCTTCACTGCCTACGCTAGGGAGGACAGAGGAGGCAACTTGATATGCTGGGTGGAGAGGGCACAGGCTCTTCACTAGACCTGTGGCTGAGAGCACTATAAACCAGGGTCCCACAGTCCTAGCAGTTCAGCCTTCTCTCCACATTTCAGAATCATCTTATATTTGTTCTTTATACTGTGTTTTAGCAGAAGGGATAGGGAGAAATACCTATTCAAAAATTTCAACCTAATAACACTTAATCAAGTGTCTTAATGTGCTGATGGTTTCTTTTCCTTTGGTTACTTGTCCTTGTCTTTTAAAACTGACACATGACTAGCTGCTGCTATGCCTCTGCTGACAAGCTTTACAACCTCATTTTTAAAAAATATTTATTTTTTAGTTGTAGTTGGACACAATACCTTTATTTTATTTATTTATTTTTATGTGGTGCTGAGGATCAAACCCAAGGCCTTGCAAGTACTAGGTGAACACTCTACCACTAAGTCACAACCCCAGCCCCACAATCTCATTTATTTAATGAAGCATTATTACATGGTACTTCTTCACAACTGTCAACA